ATCTCCCATCTCCCATCTCCCATCTCCCATCTCCCATCTCCCATCTCCCATCTCCCATCTCCTATCTCCCGTCTTTCATCTCGCATCTCTAGTTTCATTATCCACCACCAACCCCTCAACCACACCTTCTTCCCCCCCTCATACAAACCCACTAGTTAACCGCTAACCAATCTCACAGACACCCCCCCAGCCCTCCAACGCGCCGGCTTAGCCCTAACAAACCTCACCCTCTCCTCCCAACGCACCGGTCTCGGCGGCAAAACAGTCCTCGAACTCGGCCCTGATCCAGCAACCACCACTAGTAATACTGCTACTACCACGGGTGGCGGAAGTGGGAGCAGTGGGAGCAGTAATGGCCCCGACCTCCCGGAACATGGCATCCGCACGGGAGATATCGTGCTCGTTTCCGAACAGCCGGCGGCGGGGGGGATTAAGAAACGAGAGGCGAAGGGGTTGGAGGGGAGGGGGGTGAAGGGGGTTGTTACGAGGGTGGGGAGGGGGGTTGTTTGCGTTGCTGTTGATGAGGGGGGTCCGTCGGGCTCGAATAGTTCTGGGAGTAAAGATGGGAAAGGGGATGGTGGTGGGGGAGAAGGGTGGACGGGGTTTGGGGAGAAGAGGGTTTGGATGGTGAAGGTGGCTGATGATGTTACTTTTCGGAGGTCAGTTTTTCTTTTTTTTTTCTGGTGGGGGCGGTGTTGGTAGAGGGTTTAGATGCTGACTGTTCAGGATGAACGCGACCATGGAGCGGCTGGCTAAGATGGAGGAGAGGGAGTACTCCTCCTTCATCAGAGTCCTGTTCGGGCTCAGTTCACCATCGCCTGTGCCGGAAGACCTCACAAAGGATGAGGAAGTCGGAAACATCGAGTGGGTGGATCCGACGCTGAACGACAGCCAGAAGGACGCCATCCGGTTTGCGCTGGCGTCGAGGGAAATTGGGCTGATCCATGGTCCGCCGGGTGTAAGTCAGCCCGATGAACGGACGAGCTCTTTGAGAACGGCCGAGCTATTTAGTGCAGGAATAGTAACTAACCCAACTAAAGACAGGCAAAACCCACACCCTAATCGAACTGATCCTCCAACTTCTCCAACGCAACCTCCGCATCCTCGTCTGCGGCCCCTCCAACATCTCCGTCGACAATATCGTCGAGCGCCTCGCACCCCACAAAATCCCCCTCGTCCGCCTCGGCCACCCAGCCCGCCTGCTCCCTTCCGTGCTCAACCACTCCCTCGACGTGCTCACCCGCACCTCCGAGGCCGGAGCCATCGTGCAGGATGTCCGCGCCGAGATGGACGCGAAACAGGCGACCATCCGTAAGACGCGGAATGCCCGCGAGCGACGGGCTATTTATGCTGACTTGAAAGAGCTGAGGAAGGAGTACCGTGAGCGGGAGAGACGGTGTGTGAGTGGGTTGGTGGGTAGGAGTAAGGTGGTGCTGGCTACGCTGCATGGTGCGGGCGGGTTTCAGCTACGGGGGGAGCAGTTTGATGTGGTTATCATTGATGAGGCGAGTCAGGCGTTGGAGGCGCAGTGTTGGGTTCCGTTGCTGGCTGCGAGCAAGGCTATCTGTGCTGGGGATCATCTGCAGCTGCCGCCGACTATCAAGTCGTTGAACTCTAGGGCTAGCAAAAGCTCGACTGCTGCTAACAAGAAAGGCAAGGACACAACTTCCACTACAACACCCATTTCCACTTCCACTTCCACTTCCACTACCACAACACCCGCCAGCACCACGACCACAGCTAAAAACACCACCCCCACCCTCGAAACAACCCTCTTCGACCGCCTCCTCACCCTCCACGGCCCCTCCATCAAACGCATGCTCACCACCCAATACCGCATGCACGAAGCCATCATGCGCTTCCCCTCCGACGCCCTCTACGACAGCCGCCTCATCGCCGCAGAATCCGTCCGCACCCGCCTTCTCAAGGACCTCCCCTACGACGTGGAGGACACCGACGATACGCGGGAGCCGCTCGTCTTTATCGACACGCAGGGGGGGGATTTCCCTGAGAAGAACGAGGATGATCAGCCGGGCCAGCAACAGGATGGGGGGAAGACGAAAAAGGTGAGTAAGAGTAGTTTGTATGGGGATAGCAAGAGTAATGAGATGGAGGCTGCGTTGGTGAGGCAGCATGTGGGGAGTTTGGTGGAGGCCGGGGTGAGGCCGGAGGATATTGCGGTTGTGACGCCGTATAATGCTCAGGTGAGTTCTTTTCTTCTTTTTGTCTTTCATGCTATTATTCCATGCTATTCCCAAACGCCTGGACGTAGCCCCCTGTGCTGCACCCCCTTAACACACAAACCCTACCTATGCTCGGATCGCCCAGGCGCAGAGCATAAACACGGCCCGGACGGGATGGTAATTCATGCGCCATGCGATCGGTTCCGCCTCGTCTCAACATCCGTTCCGGGCCGTTCATGGCAGCGTTGCATGAAATAATAAACCAGCCTACTATGTATGTTATGGGGAAGGGGTTGCATGGCATGGCTGACCACAGATTTGGGACGAGTAGCTCGCCGTCTTGGCTCCGTTGAAGGAGACCTTCCCCGGTATTGAACTCGGCAGCGTGGACGGCTTCCAGGGCCGGGAGAAGGAGGCTGTGGTCGTCAGCCTTGTTCGGAGCAATCCGGAGGGTGAAGTCGGCTTTTTGGGCGAGAAACGCCGGTTGAATGGTGAGTTTCTCTTTTTAGGTGGCAGGTATTGTTCTTGCAGCAGCACCACCAGTAGCAGATTTGTCCTCTCCTACCTCCTCTTTTACCTCGCCAGACCTTGCTTCTGTTGCCTCTTCATCATCATGTGTACCGAGAGAAAAGCATTAACGCATGGGAAACAGTGGCCATGACACGGCCCAAGCGGTCGTTAACCGTGATTGGGGATTCCGAGACGGTTAAGAAGTGAGTCCTTCTAGTTTTCGCTCGCCCCTATGGTACAATCCATCTCGCTGACACGGACATATAGAGGCAGCAAATTCCTCAAAGATTGGATGGACTTTCTCGAGGAGAATGCCGATCTCCGATACCCAGATCTAGCATCGCTCACCCAGGGCGCATGAATCATAACCAGAACAATGATAACGCGAAGCGCGGGCTATCGAGATTGCGGAAGTTAGGGAGAGATCTGGCCAAGCTGATTTCATGCATTGATCCCAAGGGCCAGTCCATCTGGAAGCTCCAATAGCAGCGTCCAGCTCCCCAACTTCAGCATCTAGACACGGTTAAGGTCGTACAAGCTGGCTCTGTTGGTGACTACTAGTACTCCCTTGGACGGCGAGACCACGAAATCGGAGAATTTCCTCCTCCCTCCGCTCCTCGAAGGGACGTGGGGGGAAGCGCGGCATACCCCGCAAAGATAGTTATTTGTGTTGAGGGGGGGACGGGATGCCGTCTCAGATTCGGGCTTCGGCTCGAACAGAGTTGTCGATCGTGTGAAGAGAAGGATGATGGCGTGGTCAACCCGTCAAATCGATCCCCAGACTGTTGATGATCTTGGACCATTTTGACAGATGTGATTTCGTGTCCCGTGGTTTCCGTGTTAAAGGGTTCCATCGTCTCGACTTTCTCCTCAGGGATCGTCTCTTCTCAACTCAGCCGTTTGACGTTCGGGAACAGGTGGAGGTTACACAAGGGAAAGACGGGGGACCCCAGCTGTGGTGTTTCATCTTCCCTGTCCGTGGGGACATCGCCAAGGGCGGGGTCGGCTCGTCTTTCCCTCAACCGCCCCCTTTTCCGCTTCCAGCGCCGTTGAATGTTGTCCAACTCATCATTACCATCATCAATAGAGCAGGGCATCGTGGCCATTGGGTCTGCCTTGTGTTTTTACCGGCCTCTCATAATGCGGCCGTCCGACGCGCTACAGTCACCTGTTGCTGCTTCCATGCTGTAACACACGCCGCCGGTGTCTGGGAATGGAAAACCGACGTTTTGTTCCAAGGGTCAAAAGAAGCCCACAAGGAAAGAAGTTGTATCATCGACCTGGCCGTGCGCAACAATGACTCGTCGGCTGTGGGTTTCTCTCTTTCGTCAGAAAGACAACAGCGCCCCGCTTCGGCGTTCCTGCTTTGCACAGTTTATTATCCTGCCGATTCTCTAATGGGGGACGGACGCGCGTAGTGTGTCTGCATGTCGTGGAAACAGCGCGTGGGGCGCCGTCTTGGGGCTCGGATTGGCTGGTTGCGGTCTGCGGTCATGTTTTTGTCGTCTAGAAGAGGGCAGCGCAACAATGCAGGTGAGTGGTTTTGCGCGGCTCGCTGGGCAGTTCGTTGCATCAAACCTGGTTGGTGAACTCGACTTGTCTGTGTCTCTCCTGAGCCACTTTTGCCTCTCCGCATGCAGACGGCAAAGCGACGTATCAGGGAGGTCACAGCGCAGTTCTGGGCACTATCAACTGCAGCTCTGGGGCGGCGACGCCGTCGTGCACACTTCCAGTTGCAACTAACTCGGGCTGACGAGCGCGGAATGCAAGAGCTGGGCGCTGGAAGTGGCACGACGAGAGGGTTGGGCTTTTCGGATTTTGACATCTGGACGCGAGGCAGTTGACAAGGGAAGAAAGGCCCAGAACACACGGTCCTCTCAACCCCCGGCGGATTAGCGCGGATCAAACCTTCGGGGGGCTCGCTATGGCCAAAAAAAAAACGGCAGACCAAGTCCCTGGATAACTTGCTTTGCTACAAACGTGAAAAAAGACAAAAGAAAAAGCCAAAAAAAGTGAAAAAGGACAAAAAAGGATAAATCTAGAGAGTGAAAAAAGACAAAAAAGAGTAAATCCATCAAATTTACCAAGATTTGATCGAATGTTAATGGATTGGACTTGAGCTATCTGTTTGAGTGTGCCGGTTTTTTTGGGCACAGCGAGGGGGATGGATTTTGACGACGTCGGCCCACGCCCGTGCTTTTCTTCCAGGTTCGTTCCATTTGATTTGATTGCTGGATGCGCCTTCCAGAACAATTCAGCATTTACTATAGTACACTGCTTCCACCCGTAAAGTCCGGCGGAAAGCGCAGGCCACTCATTCGTCATTTGGCACGTACCTGCCTGATCTTTCAGTGAGGGGGGTTCATTGCTCCTGCCCAAGAGGCACCATGTGCGACTTGCCCTAGGCTTCGCGGAGCACCGTTTCCTCGCACAAGTCACGACAGACAAACAAAATTCTCCTTGCTCCGTTCGTGACACCCAATTTGAATCCTCGACAACCCGCAGCAAGACTTGGCTCCGAATAGACGACGGACTAGAAGGATACTACTACCTTAGCAAGGATAGTCGTGGCCCAGCACCGGGGCCCTTGACGAAATCGGAAGCGCTTGCAAGCGAATCAAGCCCCACATTGGCGTCTTTTTCCCCAACGGGCATCACTGTTTCCGGCGCCGTGGCTTGCAATGCTTTGGTTGCCCTTGACCACCCCCAATGTTCCCGTTGGCAAAGGTTGGCGTTATCAAGTCTCGAAGCAACCATCATGCCCGTTCCAAGCTCGCTTCGCATTCGGGTAGTAATCTGGCACAGGTACAACTGAGAGCGGCGTCGGCTTTAGAGACCGACCAATTGTTCAAAATGCACCGACTTGCAAGATCACGGCATAGGTGCCTCTCGGCTGGCAGCGGAGCGAGCGGCTTTTCGCCTCCTTTATTCCATAGTACAGGCGTTTTCCACCGGCAACCCATTCCGCCCAACCTATCCGTCTTTGTCTCCGCTGCTGTTCTCTTTTAGCCCGGACCTGACAGCGACTGCGGCCCCAACGAGCAGAATGCAGCCGTGCCAAGGTGCAGCTGCGGGCATGCGCCCGAGACAAGGCACTCTCTTCAGCAGTTTTCTCTGAGAGAGATCCGGTGGATGGTGGGGGCAGCGACTGGGTCAAGCAAAGAAGTCGAGCAACACGGCCTCTTCTCGGTGTCTCAGCCCCGGACCACTTTGCAGTCAGGAGGAGGCTCTGCTTCCTCTGTTTCTTCCTCGTTTTTCCCCTGAATGGATGCATGCACGGACGTCCAGGCCTGCATCGGGAACTGAGGCCCCAAGAGAAGACAAGGCCGGGAGGCCCCCGTTCCCCACCCTGCGAACCCAAGCGCACCCCTCATGCCCCTCCGTCACGGTCGTATCAGCTATGAATCCTTGCACTTGCATTACACGCTTGTGACCTCCGGGGTGGTCTCGCCGGCGCAGCAGGTTGGACATTTAATATCTACCATTGGTGCTGCTTGTCTCTCGTCCGTGGGGTCAGTTTCGCGAGCTTTACGTGCTGTGCTGTTGATTCCACGGGGTGTTGGTGGTCTTGAATCTCGCGTCCTCGCGTTGACCAACCCTTCGCCGGACTCCAGCATGAGCCCGGATGCAGCAGTCCAGCGTGAGCCGTGCTGCTGAGCCTTCTCTCCCCGACAACCAAGTTACCCGTCGTGCCGTCATCCATAAACTGACCGGATCCGTTCTTTCTTTCACTTTCCTACGTTGCCACCTCACTGTACCACCACAGCTCCGGCACCCACCAACCGCCTGGTTTCCTTTTCTTTCCACTAGAGCAACTCAGCTCTCTTCTCTCGATAACGACGGACTCGGAGGTGAATTGAGGAAAGTGTAGCTTTTCGGACCGTGGGACAAGGGAAACGCGAACGGACTACGGATACACGGGAATTCTCCATTCCGCAGCCTATCAACGGCGCGCAGCCACGACCTCTCATCGGGGCACGACTTGCTTCTCCTGGAGGGTTGCTCACGGCGTTCCGATGGCCTGGAGTATATGACGGTCTCACCACCCTCCCTCACTCTCCTTCACCCGTTCGGTGGCCTTTCTTTCATAATTTTCCACACCGTCTGAAGACGAACACAACCTCTACCGGTCACCATGCCAAGCCTCTTCGGTAAGCCCGGCAAGCCCGGGCCCACCGCCGGCCGTGCCAAGCCCCGACAGAAGTCGATTCGGGGAACAATATCGGCCCCAATCCCCATACCCTCAACGCCGGACGACGACGAGTTCCCAATTAGGTTACCAGGGACCATCAAGGCGTCAAAGAACTCCGATGACGAATTCCCGATGCGCCAGCCCGGGACGGGCATTGCCTCGCCTGATCTCCCCAGCTCGTCCCCGGATGAGGCCCCCGAGCCGTTGGAAGCGCAGGGGCAAGGAGACCAGCTGGAGAAGGAACTTGGCGAGCCTGGGAAACCAAGCCCGGACACCGATTTCGACCACGATATTGTCCAGAGCCCAACTCAGGTTGAGCCGACTGCGCCTGTTGGTATTGCGCATACTGGTGAACCACGCTCCGGGAGTGGTGGTTCAGGGGGCAGCCGCACCGATCTGCCAGAGGAGACTATCCCCAACCATCCGACCACACCACCGCCGGCACCACCACCACAAAGCTTTAGCACCCCCCCTGGCCGCTCACCATCACGGCCTGCTTCGCGGTCTCCTCAAAACCGGCTTGTCTCCCAAAAGACGCCTCCTCCGCTAGCTGACCTCTCGCCGAAAACATCAGCTCCGACGAGGAGAGCCACAAATCCCGTTCTGAACAGCGTCAGATACTCGGTTGTCAGCGATGTTGGCAGCAGGCAGACATCCCAAAGTAAAGACGCTCCGCAAAGGAAGAAGTCGACCCTGCGGTCGGCACTGGGAAGATTATTCGGGCGAGGCAAGAAGAAGAATGGCAATGGGGGCCATCACAGCACTGCCTCCATCCCCGAACGGGAATCCAAACCAATGGGTTCCGCCCAGCATCTAAGTGTGAGTATTTCTGAGTGTCAAGATCAACTCTAGCGCAAACCCGCGTTCTGACCCAAAATATAGGACCCTACCGCGCTTAGTCGCCCGCAACAGAGGTCATCCCCCAAACGTTCTGCCTCATTACCCCTGAGCGAGTTTGACCGGCCCTTGCGGTCACATTCCGTGGGCCCTGACGACATCATGGCCATCGAAAGTGCGCGCAACTCTGTGCACGTCGACCCGTCCGGGTCTTCAACGGCTTTGGGTATCCGACGGCGCGCTGCGACCACCCACGGCCACGCTCTTTTGCTCCCCCATCTGGTTAACCGCGAGTTCGGTGCCGGGCTGTCTCCACGGCCGTCCAGTGCTCACGGCCGTGGTAGCCGGGCGGGCGTGCGAAGCGACCCCGATGATCCCGGTGAGATTGGCCGGGCTATCACGAGCGATAGTGGTGGTGGTCTTCGGCGGCGGTCCCGGAGTTTGTCAGGGTTGCAGGACTTTGCCGGTGTGAGCCAAGGTGGGAGTCGCCGTCGTAGCGATGAGATCCGCTATTGGCGCGAGTCGTACAACCCGGGGTTTATGTCGCCGTTGTCATCGAACACACACGATGACTACGACGATACCGGCTTGGGAGATACGAGTGCACCGGAGAGTCCTGCGGCGGAAAAGCCCCCGAAAACGCCGCCTCAGCCGTTCAACTTTGGTGTCCTTTCCAAGGAGATGATGGGGATGAAGATCACACACGCTGCGGACATGGATACCCGGCTGGCCAATATTGAAACCCGGACAGCGCAGCTAGAGCGTGTCGTCGACAAGCTCTATCTCGCACTCCCTAATCTGAAAACCCCTGGCGGTACTAGGGACACGACTCGGCCCAGCAGTTCCCGCCGCTCCATCGAAACAGACACCCATTCCCAGCTGTCTCTGAGCGAGTACCAGACGTACACCACGGCTCTTCACCCGCTCTCCGCCGCAACTCCCCGGACCAAACCCCCCATCATCTCCCCGCCCGCTCTCCCTTCGCCCCGGCCTACCTCGACCGCCACGATCCGTGGTGCTGCCAGCCTCCCCCACCTCAGTCACGAAGACGCAGGCACACCCCCAACGGACCTCGTCACTAAACTCCGCGCCGAGCTCGACGCCGAACGATCCGCCCGCGAGGCCCTCGAAGCACAAGTCAAGAAACTCTCCGACCGCCTCAACTCCCTCTCCACAACCATGTTCGCCATGGTCCGCGGCCCCTCCGAGTCACGATCCCACGAACGCCTAAATTCCCCCGCCTCCTCCTCCATCGGCGGCAACTCCCCTACACCACATCTTCCCACAACCCCCAGATCGGCCGTCCTATCCGGTATCCCACCTATCCCCCCAGTCCCCCGCGAACACCAGCATCCTCCCCACTCCGTCTTCGAGACAGACGACGACGATGACGACAACGGCACCAACGACGAGGGACGGTCCACAAAACGGTCCTCCGCCATCAGGACCACCATCCCCGCCGCGCCGACATCCGCAGTCGACGAAGGGGAGATCACGGAAGATGATTTCCAAACACCACGCGAGGAACGCACGCCGCTGGTGGGGTATGGCGCGTTTGGCGAGGAATTGAGGTCGGACGATTATGGGGATGATGACGATGACTATGACGATCATGATGAAAACGGAAATGGTAATGGTAATGGAGGAGATGGGAGTGGTGAGGAGTTGAAGCGGAAGAAGGCGGCACGGACGCTGAGTTTGAGCCAACTTACTTTGGGGAAGGGTCAGCGGACGAGGATTTGAGTTTGGTGCGGTCTGTCGAACGGAATGGGCTGGCTGGATGGGACATTTTCTCTTTTCGTGAGAACTGGGCAACCCTCTCACCTAACCATAATCCTAACACTCTTCCGTCTATTTATCTCCTTTCCCTTCCCCTTCTCTTAGTCTACGCCACCTCTTTTCTCTAACCCACGCCACGACTTCCATCCTCCTACTTCACGATCCCCATTTCCCCCCGAACCTCAAACATCATGACACGGCCAGGCGGCCGTCTGCTTTCTCAATGTGTTTTTTTCTACCGTTTCCTTAACTTATCCCCGTTGTCCGAGCGAGCGTCTCCTTTCGCATAGCGACTGCTTTTAATGCTTACCTTTCTATTTCCCCACGGCCACGTTTATCGTATCTTCCCTTCTCCCGTTGTTTTAACTCCCGACTTCCAGTTTCGTGTTGTTGTTTTTTTCCTTCGACCCTTTTACCTGTCTGGTTTGGATTTGATTGGCATTTGAGTTTTATTTTCTAAAACTCCGCCTCCAACACAACACAGGTTTTCTTCCGTTATCCGTTTAACTTCGCAGCAGATTTTGTATTTTTAATCTTATGTACACTAGATACCCCCGCCACTGAGCGGATTTTATGAGAGATATGTGTTTTGGTTTATTCTGCTGGCCTTGTACATACCCTGTGAACCTTGGTTTGTGCTTACTGGCTCTGCTTCATGCTTCATGCCCCCTACTCCATGCTACCTACGCCCATGAGGAAATCAGAGAGATGTCTCACAATATCAATTCAGGGAAACGGTTGAACAAGGTTGTCCAAAACATACCGCTGAATTTATCCATGATTATCATATACGCTATTGGTTTCGCTTCATGCTCAAGGCACTCACAGGTTTATTTACACGTTTTCCACGGCCCATCCACAAACCTTCTCACTTCCCCCCAAACTCCAACAACTCACATGATAACATGACCACCGGTTACGTTCCCATTCACCACCAACCCATCGATCGCGTTTACAACCTCCTCATCATCCGCGTACGGCACCGGCAGCGTGGCGTGCGTATCCACCGTGAGATTCGACCCATGGGAGTCGAGCTCGCGCATATCGTCGCCCGACGGTCGAGCGAAGGGGATACAAAACATCGTTCTAGTGCCAAGTTCCGGGATCGAGTCCACCCTGATTCGGCCTCTCATGGCCTCTACCAAGTATTTGACGGTTCCCAGGTGGGATATGGGCTGATCACCACTGGAGGTCCTGGTATCAGGAGCAGAGGGTTGAATTCTCGAGGTGTCGCGCACGGAGAACGTGATATGGACGGCTTCTGGGTCGTCCAGGGGCGTCTCATTTTCTCTAACGTAGAAATCGATTTGGCCACACGTGGTCGCTTGGATGCTGCTTGCAAGCGCCCCGCTAATGGCATGTCGTAAACGCCCCGCGTCGGCTACGACATAGGGGTTTCTCTTTATGCCCTCCGCGACAAAGAAGTTGAAGTCAAGCCCCTTGGACAGGGCAGCCAGCCTCAAGGGGTGCTCTGTGCTGGAAACTATGGCTTCCAAAGAACATGGCTTCTCGTCGACAAGGGGGATTTCGGGCGGGGGATCAGAGACGGACGGGTTATCGTCGAGGAGCTGGGTGAGGGTTCGTGCCAACCGGTGGACAGTCCTAGCGAGTCTGCGCTTCCGAGAATTCATTTCCCCATCGTTTAGCAAAGGGCCTGCCACACCGAGGACCTGAGTGGCGCGGCGGCGGAGGTCTTGCAACATCTTGTGGCGGTTAGAGAAATCTTTCACAGCCCCTAGTTACCGACGTGTAGAGTGTGCTTACAGTACAGAGTACCGGGTCGACCTCCGGGTTGTCTTCTGGGTTGGCTTCCGGGCCGCCCTCCAAATTGCTCTCAGGACTGCCCTCAAGAGCAGCGGGGAGAGCAACAGGCCAACCATGCCCATGGGCATGGCCCTCGCCCTCCGTCAGCTCCATAATCGTGCCTATCGCGCCTTGAATGGTACGCGGCCCGCCTTCTGCTGGGGACACGAGAGACGCCCTCATGTGCACGCAAAACGCCCGACCGCCGTCTGGTCTACATTAATGACCGCGACTCAACTCATCAAGGGCGTGGGTGTGAAACCTACTTATCTTGCACTCCCATGCTCTTTTCCTGAAGTGGCCTGCCAGGATTGAGACAAAATTCTGTACAATCGTCGGGACCCCTTCTTCGCTGGTTTCGAACCCTAGGAACTGGAACAAATCGAATATCGACGTGCCGATCAGCAGGTCGTGCCCGCTGTCAGGCTCTGGGTACCCAATTTCGTCACGTAAAGCGCCTTGGAGACTACGGATTCTGCCCTCGACGTCAAGCGAGAAGACAGTGACTCGAGGCCTCACAAAGTCCTCCCCGGGGCACGGGACCGTGGAAAGCTATGCCTGGATGGTCTCGTTATTGCCGTTGGATACAACCGGGGAAGGATAGGGGGGCATGGGCGTTAACAGCGGGTTCATTGCGGCGGGGCCATTCCTATCCGCGCTGCCCCAGTTGGTTAGGGGCTCTGTGGACGAGGCCGGAGGTACCAATGCATCTCTGCGCCGACCTTCGTTGGAGATGTAGCCGTGGTTGTCGTTAGGATAGGCGTGATGCAACGACGCGCCGTTCATCGTACCTAAACGAGGAAGCGGTTGAGTTATGGGGGCCTTCGGGGGATACAGGCTGTAGAGGTCGGGTGCGAGATGATTGAGGATAGAGAGAGGGTCTATAGGTGCTCGATAGTCACTTCGTAGGTGTGGTGAGGTCGAGAAAGTAATGGGGTTCCAGACAATGGAAGTTCCCAAGGCTTCAGGGGGGCTGGGTATCTCCGTAATGTGCAGGAAACGCCCAAGTGGCTCCTGCCGAGGCATCTATCGGAATAGGCCTAGAAATGGCAGTCGATAACAAGCTGTTCCTGCCCATCCCCCGGTTGTGCATCACTCAAGCACAGGGCCGGGCGCGAAGTGGGCTTTTACAACATGATACAACGGAGATGTGCGGAGTTCGGATCCGAACCCCGGGTATCATAATTTGATGAAAATGTGTTCTGTAGGAGAGTTTAACTCGTACTTAGCACTAACACTAGGCCCAGCACACAAAAACGGTCGGTTGAACGGTGAGTTGTACCTTCCCAAGTCTACATTAATCAGGCAAGTGAAGTCCTATATTGGCAGCTGGCACTTCAGTCTGCCATCTGTAAGGTGACTAAGCAGTGTCCGCCCTCAAGCCCTGTTGTGTCTCGGCAATTGCTATTCCGACTCCCCGCCATCATTCAGTTTTCCCTCCTCATCCAGTATCTCTGACAGAGGCGCGAGTGAAGCATACGCAACAACCTTTCGAATTCCAAATGGCACCCCTTTCAAAGCCTCGCGCAAAAGGGCCGCTGCAAGCACCCCAGAAGCCGCCAACAGCTGTTTCATACACCCAGCCGCGCAGCATGCAGAGCGAAACTGAAGTCCGTTCACCCGAGAGCAACAGGGGTGAGTGAAGCCAGCCATTTCTCCTCCGCTTGGCAAGCTTTCCTGAATCGTACGCAGTAGAGTCAATTGACAGATTTCCACGATCTTTCTCTCGCAGTGGTCTATCGAGAAGTGTCCCTGACTGCGACTCCACATCCGTTTGTGAATCCGAGCGATGCTTTCTCACAGCCGAATCTAAAGGAGCCAGACCCTAAACGTCAGTGACCGGAACCTACCGTGGTAATTCTTTTTCGGGCGAGATGCATTCGACTTTCGGCCTGCTGGTTCGGCAACCTCGCCATTCACCATGGTTACATCATCGTCTAGTGTACCGGGCCCACTTCCCCGTCGCCCGGGCCGAAGTCGTTCGAGGTCCAGCGGAGGTCTCGATTTGGGACGGCGGTTCAGATGTGCTACGGACGAAAGTGGGCGATGTCACTCCCCATCTGCCGCTGAAGTCGAACGGTTTACCCAACCGGAAACATGTCCCAGATACTGGAGTTTCAGCTCAGTTGGCACTCGCAAATCTTCGCTATGTCTTAGCAGCCGCCGCCGGGCACTGGGGGACAAACCCTTCGCATCTCCACAGCATTTTCTCAATGCAGTTGGTCCTCAGCAACCAAATGCCGGTTGCTCGCTCCGCAGCCTCCAAATCCCCACCCTCATCAACCCCGCACTGCTCGGTCAGGGATTCCTCACCTCAGTTCAAAACCGCGAGGGGCAAAAAATGCCTCCAAAAGGTACACATTCTTGAGCCGTGTCGGGCCTGTGCTATGGTGCCTGCTGAATTCTCGCTTGGGCGTTTCTGCGGTTGGTTTAGTGGTCCCTGGCAGACGGGCTGTTAGGAGATCTGACAGGGTTTCATGAGCTCCCGTCAGGGGCACGAAAGGCCTTTGGTCTTTGCTCGTGTGTCATGGGACACCTCGCCATCACATCCCCGTCCCCTTGTTGACGATCCCTGAAACCCGCGATTTTCGGCGGGTCAGGACTGATTTCCGAGTTCCCCTCCCGCCACCCGTCTCAGGGCATGATAAGCTTTCGGATCTCTACCTTTAAACGCTGCCCCCCCTTTAACTAGAGCCTCAGTCCCTTTCGCTCGGTTCCGATCAACGTTGTCCACCACGCAACCCGTCCTCTTAGCCTTCGTCGACTCTGCCACCGTTCCATAGCCGCTTATTCTCCGCCATGTCTCCGTCCGTCGCCGACAGGCCCGGGAACTCGCCGGTTCCCTTCATAATCAACGGCAAGGACGTCCACCCGGAAAGGACATTCGATGTGGTGTCGCCGGCAACCGGCAAGGTAATCCATGCGGCCGCCAGCGCCAGCGAGGCCGATGTCCGCGCAGCCGTCGACTCGGCCGCCGCAGCCTTCCAAAAGTGGAAGACAGCACTGCCGAAGACTCGCCGCGACATCCTACTCAAGGCCGCCGACGTCATGCTGGCGAGGAACGATGAGCTCCGCGACTACATGTCTGCCGAGACGGGCTGCCCGCACAAGTGGAGCAACCGGAACCTCGAGATCGGCCGTGACTTTCTCATTGACGTTGCCGGTCGGCTGAGTGGCCTCGAGGGCAGCATGGCCACGCCTGAACATGCTGACTCGGGCGCCATGGTTCTCAAGGAGCCCTTTGGTGTTACTCTTGCTATTGCCCCTTGGTAGGAACCTACCACCATACAATAAAAGAGGGCCTAGTACCTCCAACCCTATGGACCACCGGCTAACGTACCCAGGAACGCTCCCTACATCCTCGGCGTCCGCTCCGTCCTTTTCCCGCTCGCCGCAGGCAACACCGTCATTCTCAAGGGTTCCGAACTGTGCCCGCGCACCATGTGGGGGATATGTTCCGTGTTCCAGGAGGCCGGCCTCCCCGACGGCGTGTTGAACCTGCTCTTCCACGAGCCCGCCAACGCAGCCGCCATCACCCAACAACTCATCACACACCCAGAGATCAAAAAGATCAACTTCACCGGCAGCACGGGCGTAGGCCGCATCATCGGGCGACTCGCAGGCGAGCAGCTCAAGCCAGTCCTCCTCGAGCTAGGCGGCAAGGCCCCCGCCATCGTATGGGAAGACGCCGACCTAGACAACGCCGCAACCCACGTCGCCACCGGCGCCTTCCTCAACTCCGGCCAAATCTGCATGTCCACCGAGCGCGTCCTCGTACACAAGAGCGTGCACGCCGAATTCGGCACCAAACTAACCGCCGCCATCGACCGCATCTTCGGCGGCGCACAAAGCGACCCCCTCGTGCTTATCAACGCCGTCAGCGTCTCCAAAAACAAAAAACTCCTCCACGACGCCGTCGCCAAGGGCGCCACCCTCCTCTACGGCGACGCCAACGCCCAAGAATCCTCCGACACCCGCATGCGACCCGTCGTCGTCAGCGGCGTCACGCCCGAAATGGACATCTACCGGCTCGAGAGTTTCGGCCCGACGGTCTCGCTGCTGGAGATTGAGACGGAGGAGGAAGCGTTGCGGATTGCCAACGATACCGAGTATGGATTGTCGTCGGCTGTGTTTACGGAGGATTTGCGTCGGGGATTGAGGTTTGCGCGTGGCATTGAGACGGGTGCTGTGCATATTAATAGTATGTCGGTGCATGACGAGTCGGCGCTGCCGCATGGGGGGGCGAAGTCGTCGGGGTATGGGCGGTTTAATACGGCTGTGGGGTTGGAGGAGTGGGTGAGGACGAAGACGGTTACGTTTAAGTGGTAGGGTTTGTTCTGGTCTGAAGGAGAGAGCGAGCGAACGAGAGGGGGTCGGGGGGCTTGATGCCCGATATAATGGGTGAGATGGTGTAACGATATAGTATGCATCAAAACCAAGACAAGTTACCGTTCTTAAACATCTGAGCGCAATGAAAACTGTGTTTATCCTCAACTCGAGGGAGGTCCGCCGTCGGTAGCTAAGCAACGGCCAATTAAAAGATAAAAATACACCGCAAAATCCCCCATGCTCCCTTCCCTCAACTCATACATCCCCCTTATGCTCCCGAACTAGCTCCCCGACCTAGCTCCCCACCTCGGTCCAGTACATGAGGACTCAAGCAACCTTCTTACTCGGAATCTCGATCGTGCGCCCACCGCTCACAAACCGGCACCCGGCCACGACCAAGCGCTGCCACACGACAAACTCGTCGTCGTCGCGCGGCGCATACACCATGATGTAGCTCCATGGCAGGATCTTGCGCACGCCGCTGAGGCGGTGGCGTTCGGCCCTGGGGGAGTTAGTTAGTCTCTGTTTCTGGAAAGTTGTAAGGAAAAAAGTGGAGGAGGGGGATCGGGGGAGCAAGATAACTCACCATCCCTTCGCAACAGCCTCTTCAGCATCCACCAAGCTGAGCGTGACATGCGAACTGCCCTCGGGGTGGACATGCGCAATCTCCCCACCTACACCGCCCATGAACTTTGGGATCCGCACAGCTCTGTCATCGTCCTCCTTCTCCTTCTCCTTTTTCTTCTCATCACCATCTTTCTTCTCACTATCAACCTCCTTAGTCAAACCACTCTCCCTTAAGAACAAAGCCTGATGCCTCTTCCCTTCCAATCTCGAAGGTTTCATCTCCAACAAAGCCCACTCTTGTCCCTTCCCACCATCCCCACCACCGCTACCAGCAGCAGCAGCACCACCACCACCATTCGCCTCCGCCAACTCCACCAAAAACCGTTCCATCCTTCTCACCAGCTCAGGTCCACCCTTCTCCGTCGTCTGGCGCTGCGGGACAACCAGACCGGGTACATCAGGGCGTGAACCGGACCGTGGCGGGAGGGTACCGTTGTTGTTATCGTTGTCTTCGTTGTTATCCTCTTGTGGATGGAGTGGAAAGAGGAAGGAGGTTTGGCCGAGCGGGGCGTAGAAGGCTACTACAGTGGGGCCGATAATTTTTTTGGTCGTGCTGCTGGTGGTGGTGGTGCTGGGACCGGTGTTGGTGGGCTGGTCGAGGCTGGAGTAGGGGCTGGGGATGTAGTAATACGGGGGCGGGACGGCGCGGGTGTCGGTGCGGGCTATGAGACTGAGGGTGGTTTGGATTAAGAAGCCGAGGGGGTTGTCTGTTGAGGGGGTTAGTGAAGGGTGGATGGGGTATTGGGGTCGGGGGAATGGGGATAGGATAGATTAGGGGTTACGTACGTGGAAGGCCACCTGGGCCGATCTCGATGAAGGTACGGTAGGATCTGATTAAAGATGGGGTGTTGATGAGGATGACAAAGACAGGCGTGGCTACCAGGGCGACCTGGGTCCATGTATACTTGGAGAAGTCGAAAGGTAGGGTGAAATTTGGCAGGCGCTCTAGCCGAGCGGTGCTTAGAATTGAAGGCATTTTGGTCGCTTGTTTGCTTGGTCGGTTGGTTGTTTCTTGGTGTTGACCGAGAGTTGTGAAGTGGAAGTGTGTTTGTGGTGAGGTTGGATGTTAGAGGTTGTTTTGTTTCCGAGGCAAACCGGAGTTTAACACTGCCCGATTACCTGTGGAGAAGATTGGGCAGGCCACCGCGGCCAAATCGGAAGGTCCATTGATCGAAGATGTTTGCTGCGGAAGGAGCGATGGAGGATTCCATAGGTGAGGCCCGGTTGTTCCCGAGCCGCGTAAGTGGTACTTTACCCGGAGCATACATGTTACTAGTAGGTGCCAACCTAAAAGCAAGGGATAAGATTGACGACAAACTCTTCGCCAAGGTCAAGCATCAACTGTGTAGACATATATCGCACTACGTTCGCCACTCGATTCAATAGCTCCAGTCACGCCAGATGGCACATCACTGAGGATCCATGTCCGTCTATCATTCCTCGATCTCGCGTAACGTAGGCAGGTATGTACATACAGCCATCGCCGCGCCCGCGGGCCAGGAAGCCTCAATAAAAGAATTAAGCGGGAATGAATATACACCCTCCCAGAAGTAGAAAACCGTCTTCTCTCTCCATCCCTCCTTCTCTTCCTTCCTCTTTTGGACATCTCCTCCCATTCCTCCATGATTTCCCCTTACCAAATCCCCCCCTTTGTACCGTTTGACCAAGTTCGAAGCTAATGCCCTAACCTCAGGTCCCCAATAACCGAGTAAACTTTCCAGTTTACAACGGCTTCGGCGCAAACGCCAGCTTGCCATTCTCCACATCAAACACAGTAAACTGCGCCTTGAAGAAGACATCACCATAAATAGCAAACGGCATACCAGCCGAGCTCTGCATGCCACCAAAGCACGTCTTAGCCGTCTTAATATCATCTGTATCAATCGGCGCAAACAAGATCAGCTCGCCAGGGATCACAGCCTTGTAAGAACCGATATGCAGCGTCAGGTCAGGCAGGTCAGCCTTGCAGGGCACCGTCCAGCCGCCGGCCTGCGGGTCCTCCTTGGCGCCCTTGACTTGGCGGTAGTAGGCCTGGTTGATGCCGGCGGGGAGCAGGAGGAGAGTGGTGCCGGTGTCGGCGATGGCGTTGTGCGCGATGGGGACCACGGGGGAACCGGTGCCGTTGCCGGAGGCGCCCTCGACGGAGTAGCCGGTGGCTTGGAAGGCCCAGAAACCGTCGGAGGAGTCGACGTCCACGTAGTTGAGCGGGCCGGTGAACTCGGTTTCGTCGATGAAGCCGAAGTTGTAGTTGCCGGCTGATGAGATGTCAGTGGGTCGATTGGTTACGTAGAGAGGAAAATGCAAGAGGGAAACGTACGCTCAGACTTCTTCAGGTTGGCGGTGAACACGCCCAGCTCCAGCGACTCGAGAGCGTTGGTGATGAAAGTCTTCTGCTTGCTCGGCTTGACGGTGTTGAGCTTGTCAAAAGCCAGGCCCAGCAGGCCCGAGGACGCGGCATCGCTGATGAACGACGACGAGACCGAAGTGGCCGACTCCACGGCCTGGTTGAACACGTTGACGCCGCCCACGCTGACAACATCGAGGTAGACGTTGCCTGACGACCGGCTGCCGTCGCCGTAGCTGATGGCCCAGGTGTTATTGGCCAGGCGCTGCGCCGAGCTGCTCTTCTCGATCTCAAAGATCTTCTGGCCGCCGCGCGACTGCTGCGGAGTCTCCGAGCTGAACACCCACAGGTCGGACGAACCGGTGTCGAAGTTGAGGTTCAGCGTCTGCGGCGGGGTGCCGATCTGGACCGGCGCCAGGTACTCAACGTCGAACAGCTGAGGGGTGGCCGAGACCTCGCCTGTAGACATGTCTCAGTAAGTCATGTTTCACTTCTACCAAGCGTGTATATATCCCCTTCTCATGGACCAATATTTTCTAGAAACCTACCCTGATCGTCCGTCTCGTTGGTGTACGGCCCTGTCTTCCCAGCACCATGCGGCCTCTTGAAGGTAAAGTTGGGAACCGAAGCGTGCGGCTGACCGAGGCCGAGCTCGCCCAAGATCTTCTGCACCACATCCAGCAGCTCAGTCGGCACCTCCAGGCCATATTTTTGGTACACCCGGGCCAGCGCCCGCGGGCCCTTGCCGTGCTGGTGGAAGACCTCGTTGTGGACCTGCGGCAGCTTGAACCTGGTGCCACCGATGCGCCTCGGCTTGATATCGGACGGCTGGACCTGGACGACGCGGGGTGCGGCAGCGACCAGCGACGCCGCAAATGCGAGAGCGGTGAACTTCATGATGGCGGTTGAGTTTTGTGGTGTTTGTAGTGTTTGGTGTTGTTGTTTTTCTGGTTTGTTTATTCTTGCTCTTGCCCGTTTTGTTTCCCTTGGTGAACCTGACCGCACGCAGGACTCTAGTGACACTGAAAAAAAAAAAGAATGGACGCGGTCGATCAGTCAAAGTAGTGAATGAGTGACTGGTGTGTGTTTGTGTTATGAAGGGAGAGACTAGCTCCCTGGGGGTGGGCGGTGGGGGGTTGTGTGGTAAAAGAGAGTGTAGGAAACAAAAGAAGGAAGAGGATGGGATTTGGAGGTTCGAAAGGTAGTTAAAGGAAGCCCGCTTTAGAAGAAGGTAAAAACGGGGAATGGTCACCGAGAAAGGAGAAAAGAGCGGAAACCTGGCGGCCTCGCCTACACTGTTCATGCGGCCATATTTGCCCTTTCATGGAAGACCCCAACTCCATTCAGGGGATGGGATGAAAGCATTGGGGAGTTGGGCCTGTCGATCGACTGGACCACTCAAACGTCCTGCGCAACCTCGCCTCTTGGAAACACTGGGAACACCAGGAAACGCTGGGAACACCAACAAGGCAGCGTGCCGTTCGGGTCCCCACGTTTCCACAGACTGTGGGTTGAGTCGTTAACCCGAGAACGAGAGGTTCACCACAATCCACAACAAAGACCTCACACGGCCCTGGAATATCCGTTCCCTGAAGACCGACCGGGGGGGACAAGGGGTTCTCATTCGCCTCTGTCGTCCGAACCCTTCCCCCACAGGCGTTCCTCCTTCCATGATTCGGCGCTTGGCATTCAAACAACATCTTTAGCGACGGCGCCGGTTCGGGCGCCCAGCCGGCGAACGGCATGACGCCAGAGGCGCTCTCTGGAAACCTCGAAAGACGTTTGGCTGCTTGTCTCGGTCGCTTGAAACGCTGTGTCTTTTCCCAGTGCACGCTAGGCGATCGGCAATCGTCCGAAACGTGCCCTGTGGGGAATACCCCTGGTTGTTCCTGGCCCATCCCAATTTCGGACGACCAGTTGCTGCAGGCGTTTGCTTGCCAGTTCCTGACACTCCCGGCACCACCTGGCAGTCCCTGCATGAGGGGGTGCCAGCAGAAGTTCACTGTAACACACCAACACACCAACAACGAGAAAAAACACCGAGTTGGCCTGATCGAATGGCCAGCATTGGTTCGAGCATGAAATGATGAAAAAGGAGAAAAGGGGACGAGGTCAGACGGGAAGGCCAACATCATGCCGAATTACAGAGCTTGTTTGGACTGCTCATTGGAAGGCCAGGCGCATAAGGAGCGGTTAGGAGAGCTCGACAGCCAACCACAGAGCTGCATGGCTTTCAACTTGAAACCAGAAGCGAATTTCCCAGCTCTCCTTCCCCGGAAAGCAGAAACCAAGCAAACAACTCTCCCTCTTCACCAGTCACCACTCGCCTGCCTCGGCCGGGGCACGCATTGTCTTCGAAAACCGTCAGCCCGGTCCGTCTTTTGGAGATCTCATCCCGTTTCCCGTTTTCTTTGCATGTTCTTCGCAGAACCACAGTGCGCCGGGCTTGGCGAGATCAACTAGCTTCCCATCTTGGCATCTTGGGGCGACACAGCCACGCTTTCGCTCTGCAACTCTCCTTCTGCGGACTGAGATCGTCAGTGTCATGCGGGGGTTTTTTCGGTGCGAAGGCACGAAAAGAGTTTGCTCTCCTTTTTTTCTGTTCTGTTCTTGAGTCCGAGGAGTCCTGCAATTCCGTTTGAAGAGTAAACCCCCCGACAGGGCCGCCTCGGATTTTGCTGTGTCTGCCGTCCTGTGTGCATACAAGTGGAAGGTGATGGGCGGCATGACACTGTTTGGGTCGGCGTTGGATGGGCTGATATTTGACCCGTGGGACATCGTCATCTTTCGGTTCAATTCAACACCGAGAGAGTTTCTCTGATTTTCATTGTTAGGCGGGTCCCAGCCATCAATGTCCATTGTTCACGACTCAAGACAGCGGGGCACTCGGAGTTTCCGATGGGTTTGTCGTGCCAGCTGGATGGCAGGTGGCGATGGTCGCCAGCTGGCGAGCTAGTATTATGTCAGCAAACCTTGAACAATTGGCCGCCCGGCTGACTGAACAGCTTCCATTCAGTTCGTTCTTGCCTGGACGGGGCGCGGGTGACGCGTCGCCTTTGTCAGTGCCTGGTTCGGTTCAAACGCTTTAAACTGCATTTCCAGCGCATTGGGTCGGGATGGGACATCGCTGTTGTTTGTGGCCTTTCAAGCCTTTTAGCTAGCGCTTTCTTGTGTTTTCAGTGCTGCTTGGAGAAGACGCCGTTTGGCTGTGAAAGGATCCGGCGAACAGTGCGAGGCGTTGACTTTCCAAAGGCTTTTTTACATCAATAAGGAGTTTTTGAGTTCGGGTATCGCAGCCTGCGTCAGATATCAACTACTAAAAAACACCACGATGCAGCGAGAAATCGACCCTCTCATCGGCTACTACTCGCACTTCAAGACCGCCGAGTATCCCCGACAAGATGAGGCCCTCCACCTCCTCAAGCGGATCGCATCGATGGTGAAACCCATCATGCGCGCCCACGGCTGGCGAGTCGGGAAGCTCTCCGAGATGTATCCCTCCCAGGCCAACCTTCTCGGGTTGAACGTCAACCGCGGCGAGGAGATCCTGCTCCGCCTCCGCGAGCCCTATGATCGCAGCCAGTTCCTCCCCTTTGAGCGAGTCGTCGACACCATGCTGCACGAGCTCTGCCACAACGTCCATGGGCCGCACGACGACAAGTTCAACGCCCTGTGGAACGGCCTCCGCGAGGAGCTTGAGGGGTTGATGATGAAGGGGTTCACGGGGGATAACTTCCTCGGTTCTGGCCAACGACTGGGCGGCGGGTATCTTCCACCCCAGGAGGCGCGGCGTTTGGCCCGCGCCGAGGCCGAGCGGCGCCGTGCGGCGAATATGGCGTCCCGGGGTGGTGGTGGTATCCGGCTTGGCGGTGCTCCGGCGCCGGTACGCAGGGGAGACAAACGTGACGCCATTCTTGATTCGATCGCGCGGCGGAACAGAGTCAGTAATGCGGACTGTGCCAACAATAATCGGTCTGACGAGGAGATTCGCCAGGCGTCGCAGAGCTGGACCCGTAACGGGTTCCGCACGCGGGCGGAGGAGGATGCGGCTAATGAGGCGGCGATTGCGCAGGCGTTGTGGGAGTTGGTGCAGGAGGATAGGAAGAAGTATGATGAGTTGATCGGAGGGTGTCTCCGTTTCCCGGAAGACCTGCCTTGTGACGTTGATGGTGTGATACTGACTTTGATTTACCCTCCAGGGAAGCTAAAGAGCAAGCAGAGAGGCAGGCGGGCAGGCTACAGGACTGGGAAACACAGTCCTTCCATCCTCCCCCACCGATTCCCTTTAATACTCGACCACCCCCTGGGCCGCCTCGGCCGCGGTCTCCCGAGCTGAAGAGCTACTGGAGCTGCAATATCTGCACGCTGCGCAACCCGACGACCGTCAATGCTTGCAACGCGTGTGAAACCCCCCGCCCTCCACGGACCTTCCCCGGTCACAATAACAGGTAAGCTCGTCGCTACTAACCGTGACAGTAACGTTGTGACCTGTTGAATCTAACTTGAGTCTCATGGAAGCAGGGACATCGTAGATCTCACCGAAAGCCCCCCGAAGAAGAGGCCAAAACCTTCCAACTCCAACTCCTTGAATCGTCGCAGCACGGCACCAGTTTCTGTTGCCGCGGCTGTTGCAACGCCCCCAATTCCGCCCCGGCCGTCCACGTGGACGTGTTCGTTCTGTAGCAAGGAGATGGAGAGTCAGTGGTGGACTTGTTCACTCTGTGGCACGATGAAGAGCAGCTCATGATGTGATGAATGGAATGTGTCATGCATTGGGTAGCGTGGAGTTGGTAATACATATCTGGTGTTGTTTGATACTGAATTATAAATCGCTGGCATACTGAACGTCGTTGTGGTGTTGTTGACATTCAACCCTAACCCTGTACTCTAGAGCAACACTCCATACCCCTTTATAACCCCCCCTTTCGCCGCTCCTTCCAAGGGCGGTTAGACACACAGGCTGCACGCGACCTGGTTTTCTCTAACTTCATTCATATGAATCTTGTATTTTTAATTTACGTTGACAGAAAGGTGTGCAGATATTCGACGTCGCGAGTCTGCCGCTCAAGCCCTCAAGCCCTCTCATATAGGCTTCGTTCCACAAACGCGCGTGCCGAGTCGGGTTCCTTTTCCCACTTGAGCCAGTTGAAGGCGCTCGGGAGATTTTCGTACTCGTCAAAGTGCTCGGCGCAGAACGCGTCGAGGTCTTGAGGGACCTCGATCCTTTCTGACGCTAAACTGTTCTTCAGATCATAGTAGTTGTCCTGTAGCTTCTGCAGCTCTTCCAACATCAAACCCTGCAATTCACGGCTGCGGTTCTGTGTCGGGATCAAAGCCGGATGGTACATCGTCCACGCGCGGCTGAAGTCGACGAGCTTCCCGCCTAGGTAGTTACCACCATGTGTATCCCCTACGAAAATGCCCAGCGAGTGGATGGCTTGCAGGTCCGGCCACATACCCTGGACTTGGTTGGCAGTGGGCCATTCATCCGAGACGAGTTCCTTGACGATAGCGCGAACGGGCAAGTTGCGATGCTGCTCGTCCCGCCCCCAGAAATTGTTGCGATCCAACTCGTCGCCCGTCACCTTCAAGGCCACATAGGCCTCCTGCTGTGGCGTGAGAAGAAGATAGCCCAGGGCCTTGACGGCCAAGTCCTCGCGATTCGCCTCCTTGAGACGGCCGTATGCACGGCACTCGCAGTTGAACGAGTCAAAGTAGTCGACATAAAGCTGCGGGCTGGCCAGCGGCAGGGGAGTCTCCCCGGTATAATTCTCAATGAAGAAATCCGAGTGGCGGAAGTAAAACTGATTAGAGAGAGTGGACTTGGAGTCAGAATCCAATTTATCCAACAATTAAAGCAGGCAGAGGACCAAGCAGGCAGAGGACCAAGCAGGCAGAGGACCAAGCAGGCAGAGGACCAAGCGGGCAGAGGGCAAGCAGACACGGGCGCACTGCATCTGCATCGTCACGTACCATCTTAAGTGCAAAGAAGCCAGCTCCATTGCCATTGATCTTGACCTTCCACACTTGAGAGTCTACATCGTTCTCCCGGCCGAGGAAGTGGATAAATTCGATCTCGGCACGGGCAGTCGGGGTAAAAGGAGCGAGTTTGGGGCCGAAGACGCGGGGAAGCGGTAGCGGTGGATCGGGAAGGGGGCCGAGGTGGAAGCCCGATGAAGTCATCTTGGTGTTGTAGAACAAAAGTTGGAGGTATTACAATTTAGAAATCAGAGCTGAAGATGGTGAAATTATGTCACTGTGGACGTCGAGGGGATGAGGATTTGGAGACGGCCCTGTTGTATTGCAGATGATGGTAAATAAATGCACGTCTATGTTTGCCGGAGTGACTGTAACTCTAGGTGAGATAGGTTACAGGTAAACTGATAATTACATAGGTGATGCAGCTGTGACCGGTCGCGGATGCCACAGCGAGCGAAAAGAGGCCATGCGCATGCGTGCCCCACCTTGAATCTTTTGACCAACTCGGCCCCCAAACAGTGTTGGGCAGGAGCCGACCGACCGAGAAATATGAGACAAAGGCACAAGGCCACAAACTCGACAGGTGACTGACTACGGTTTCAATCTTCAAGCCGCAGTGCCCCGCCAACCAATACAACCTCATCTACGCGGTTCTTAACCCGTTGGTTCCAGATTTGTTCAACCGTTGAAACAGCACTTCCCGGTCGACGACTCGGCAGCCCGCGGTCTGGGTCTGGCGCAGCGACTACAATATGCAGCCCATTCACTCTGACACTCACAAGTCCGCCGCCAAGGGCTTTGTGATGTGCTATAAATGGGATATTGGGGGTTGCATCGGCATTCACCCCTTTCAGCGACGCGCCTGAGAAGCGAGACCAAATGTCTCGAAGCGTCCAGCTCAGAACCGAGCCTACCTTGGTTATAAGGCAACCGTTCAGCCAGCTCTTCTGATTCTCTCCAGCTACCAACCAGCAGAACCGAACTGAGCAGACTCACAAACTGTCCGGAACCCAGTTATTTCCTTAGCTGTCTTTTACTCGATATTCCCAAGTAATTCCACATCTCCAAGACTCGACGACCGTCGCCATGCCTACCCTCCTCGAGGTCCTGCAGCGCGAGAACCCAAACATCATCGACCATTGGGGCGGTGCTAGCTACAAAAACACCACCTCGACCCGCTTCGACAGCGTTACCCTTGACGATGGACGCAGAGCCCACGTCCAACAGTGGAAGGACTTCACCTTTGGTTCCATCTACGCAGCCTATGGCGATATCCTCGACCAAAAGCTGGGGGCTGCGTACAAAGCGGTCCAAACGCCCACTGTCACGCCAAGAGAGATCATTGACGAGAATAGCGTCGACACGCTGGGCGCTGTGTGGTCCTGCAACATCGTGAGGGAGCCCCTGAAAACGGCCGGTAACGTCCTCCGGAGCCGGGGGGGCATGGTCAGCACCGCCCTGGCCTGTCCGTCTGATCCTACGCTTGCACCCAAGAAGATCTCGTGGAAACATACAACCGAACCTAAGTCGAGTATGAAGCCCGACTGGGCCGTCGTAGAACGCTCCATACTGAAGAGGTACCGGTACGCGCACAAGGACGACACCGAAAAGTCCCTCGTCTACGCCGTAGGCGACAGCAAGCTCAAGCAGAAGTGGAAGTCGGCCTGGTTGAGCCTCAACGACGCTTCCTGCACCGTCAATACGGATCAGCCGTATCACGCGCCCGGCACGCCGGCCCCAGACGTCCAAAAGACATCGAAAATCCATGAGGAACGGATCAACCCCCTGAAACAGATGGCCACATACTGCCGCTATGCCGAGTCACGGTACGGCTACATTGTCACCCAGACCGAGCTTGTAGCGCTGCGCGTACGGCGGATTCCTGGCAGCAAGGCCCATAACGCCGCCATCGAGTACTGCGCCATCCCTTGGTCGGCCCACGGCAGCGGCAAGCTGACGGCCCACCTGGCCATCTGGGCCCTGGGCTGCATGGGCATGAACGACCACGAGCGCGCCTTGGAAGGTCCCAACAAAGCTGTGCTGCAGCACATGGCCAAGCTCACCTGGTGGACCGAGGACAAGGTCAAGAAGACCTACACCAACGTCATCTCCCGGCGCGTCGTCAACTCAGAGCAGTGGGCCAAGCTCAAGGGCAGTACTACTACCATTCTCCACACAGACGACGCCGGCGGCAGGAGTCTCACCAGCACCTTCATCCCCACGGGCCCGGCCATGCCCAACATAGCGGACCAGATGGCCAAGCTCAACCTTGGAACGGCCGACGCTCCGCCGGCGACGCCGCAGAAAGGGGCCCCCACATCCTCGTCGTCCAACAAGCCGAAGCCGAAGTCTTACACCAAGTGCACAATCGATGGCAAGACGTATGGCCTCACCCCTGATGCCGCGGGCAACTACGTTGTTCTGGATTCCAAGAAGACGGTCAAGTTCAAGCTCGTAAAGGATGCCAAGAAGAACTGGGTCGTCAGCGGCAAACCTAATGTGGTTGCCAAGATGGAGTATTAAACGGGTCTGCTAGGCACGAGTTGTGTGGGTGAGTATTGTATGGCTGGCTATATAAGGCGGCGTTTGTCGGGATTCACTGGGGTCGTGTCAGTTGCTTCCGCTGGTAGGAACTTGATGGAAGTAGTGGTCCTAAGCATGGAATGGTTCCTTATCCGTACTTAGTAGACATAGACTGTTCTGCGGGTCGGAGCAATACAATTTCAGCCCTGGTTCTGGTTTGTTAGCATGGTTTTGGCTGGGTCTGTCTTCCTTCTCATTACTCGCACCTTAACCAGCCTCTCGATGTCGGCTGTTGTAGCGTCTTGTTGAAGACAATATATGGTGCCGCAATCTCGCTCTTCATACGAAGGGGATGAGGGAGGGAGAAGGTTGAGAGTATAAGGGACGTTGGAGAGGAGGGGCTCTATTTATTAGACGACAGGCGCAGGAGCGCTATAATCACCCGATTGGGAGAGACGCTAAACCCGGCGGGTGCGACACTGAGTTCTGCCATCGTTACCTTAAATACAACCCATTACGTAGTAACAGGGTGATTAATAACTATACTGTTTTTCGTCTTTTTTCTCTTTTTTCTCTTTTGTAGAAAAGCACAAAAGTAAGTTACCTATCCAGGGTCTTGGTCCGCCGCTTCTTCTGACCACAGCCAGTTAGTGTACACGGCGAGTGGACAAGGAGGTGGTGTCGCACCTCGTGTAGACTTTCTAAACTTGGCTTTGCGTTTGGGACTTCTTAGGAAGAAAGATCGCCGGCAGCTTCCATCCAGAACTGGCAGGTTAATAGCTCAGCCACGCTTGTGCAACTGTTTGTTCGGCTGCAATGACGTCGATGCAGCAACGTTGAACTCCAGCCAGTTGTGGTCTTGTGTCTGCCTAACTCCATCATATGAATCCTGCGACTGGCGCTCGGCACGTGTGTGCCGATCCTGTGTTGCATTCAGGGCTATTTGGGGGCCATTTGAGAGAAGGATTTGGGAGAATGATTGGGGTTGTATAATTCGACAAAGCCCGAGGTTTTGATACTCCAGATCTTAAAAACAGCCCTGCGGCTGAATTTCTAAGTCGAAAGCCGTGTTTACCCTTACCTTCAACCACCACAAAAGTCATACTTACGCAGCACACAGCACACATCAGGGGACACAAACACAACAACACACCGCTTACAATACTCACAACCCCAATCCATCCAACATGTCTAGCGCGAGCCCAAACCGCTGCGCGACCACAAACCTGGGCGACCCCCAGTTCGACGGGGCCGACATCAACTGGGTCGCCGTGCCCGGCAACACGACGTCGGCGCCATGGATGACAACCTGCTGCGACCCCAAACCGGTGCACGCCTACGCCGACGGCTGCGGGCTCTGGTGCGAGATGGACCTGGCCAAGGAGCCTCACCACGACCCGGTCCGGCTCGGGGCCACGTATTTCCACTGTTTTAACGAGCACGGGCGGGAGAACCGGTCGGAGGGGGGGATGTGGCACTACATCCCGGTTAAAAAGGATGGGGATGGAAGTGCGGCGGCTGGGAGGGCGCCGTCGGTGATCGGGGCGGTGGTTATGTCGGTGTTGTTGATGGGTATGGTTTTGGTGGGATAGGTGTTGGATGTGTTGGCTCGTTGGGTAATGTGCTGGTGAAAGTCGGGAAAGAGAGGAAGGCGGCCTGCTTGCTGGGTTGTGGAGACCACAGTGGGAGTCACGTGATGTAGATACACTGGCGAATCAGATGAAGGTTCCACCATAACCCCTGTTCACCCCACATTCAACCACACTCGCTCGACAACTCACACTCACTCACCCGTCCTGGGCTCCTGGCATCGTTTGAACAGTCGAGAATAAGCTTATGACCATAAGATGGAAAAAGAGAAGGCCATCGCTCCTAGCTCCTATCGATCCGTGCAATGTGTTAATTTTTTGCTAGCTGTATGAATGATGTGCAGGCTTATTGCGAATAAGTTTACCTTCCCCTGAACTCTTCATCCCATCTCCTTTCCACAGTTTTTGCACGTAAATTGTTGCTCCTGCCAACAACCGGCTTCTCAAAACAAACACACAAAACTTCGGATCGTTCAAATTTTCGGCCAGAAAGAAAACTACACAAAGAAACCTCAAACAAATCAACCAATATCCACCGCCACCATGCTCCGCCGACCCGCCACCGTTCTCTCGCTCACGCCGGAGGACATCGCCGACTACGAGGATCGTGCAGCCGAGCGTGCGCGCGCCGCCGAGCTCGTGGCCCGCCAAAAAGCCGCCGAAGCCCACGCCCGTCTCCGCCAGGCCCAACCGCAAGCCACCTCTGCCGCTCTCCGGCGGGCCGCCTTCCCCACGGCCACGCCGACTGCGGGGTCGTCCACGGGCAGCAGCAGGTTCAACAATGGCGGCGGTATTGACTTTCACGCGTCCCGGGCCATGGCGAGCCCGGAAGAGCACCAGTTCAGCGATGACGGAGAAGGGGAGGAGGAGGAGGAGGATGTGGACGATGACTCAGAGATGGAGACGTCCTACTATGATAGGGCGCAGTCGCAGGCTGCGAGGGCGAATTTACTTCGCAACCGCGTCTTGCAATCGCATCACCATACCGAGCAAGACGAGGAGGAAGACGAGGAAGCAGGGCTAGATGAGGAGGACCCAGAGGCGCATTTCGACGATGAAGAAGAAGAAGAAGAAGCAGAAGAAATGGAAGACGACAACGACCTCCCAACCACCCAATACCACCACCACCAACACCGACGCCACCACTCAATCAACCTCCCCAGCTCCCCTCCCGTCGGCCTCGCAACAGAAACACCCACCAACCCCCAAGCCGCCCGCCACCGCCGAAACAACAGCACCGTAACCACCGCCACCACAGCAACCACCACAACCAACCCCCCACCGCTTCACCAACCCCGCCGTACCCGCGAACGCACCGCCGACCGCAGCACCGCGACCCCCCCGACCCGCGAAACCCGCCGCGGCAGCCACGTCACCGCACCCCCGCCTGCCCCTCAACGCGCCACCCGCGGCCGTGGACGTGCCGGTGCTGGTACTGGTGCCGGTACAGGTACCGGAGGAGGAGGTGGAAGCACAGCAGCTAGCAGCCTACGCGGGATGTCGTCTTCTCTCTCCCCGCCTCCTGTACGCACTGCCGGTGGTGGTGGTACGCGCCAGCAACCAGTAACAGGGACATCATCACGAGTAACACAAGTCCAACAACCCCAACCATCTTCTACCGCCAACTCGGGCGGGTCCTCACGCGTGGTATCAGGGTCCGGGTCGGGTTTAGGCGCAGCCATGACGGCTGCCGGGGTGGCGGCCGTGACGCCTGAGGCCCGGACGCAGAGAGCTGCGGGTGCTGGAGCTGGAGTGGGAGTGGGAGCGCCGACGAGGGAGGAGAGGATTGGGGTTATGAATGCGCCAAGGAGGGGGAGATCGGATCGGCTTTATCATCAGCAGCAGTAGGTAGGCGGTAGCAGCGGGCATTGGGGGGGTTTTGGAGTGAAAGGGGCGGTTTTGGAGTGGAAGAGTACAGCCGCCCGGGGTTGGGTATAACACTGGGATCTAGCATTGGAGGGGGTGTGATGCGAGGTTGAATGCTTGGACATCGCTTTGGCTCTGGGTATGGGGTGCTGAATTCCAAGACTTTGCCTGCCAGCTTTCCCCACGGGCTGAGATCGGGGCTTGCATGGCTTGGGCCAAATGCTCGGGCAAACGATGCCAAAACGGAGAGGAAGACGGCAGGACTAGATGTAAAATTGACTGGATAAGAGGACGGGCTGAAAAGATGAAGACAGAAGAATAAGAGAACAGCGGGACGAAACTACTGGAGGGCGGAATAAGAGCCAAGCGGCCGGTTTGGTGTACCTATGTTGAAGTCATGTTGGCCATTTCGGACTTATTCCAGATACAGATCAGCCAATTTCCTGTCAAGACTTTGTACTAAACAAGAATCAAGCACTATTTTTCTGTTGTACATACCTCCTTGGAGTCCGGTCTACTCTGCTGATATGGAGTGTTTTACTCTGTGGATCCGGTACATTTACCACATCCGCCGATGGACTCCCGCATGATGGGTGTAGAAAATGGGTGTGGAAAAAGTAACTGGAGGTAGGTGGTGGCTTCCTATTGATGTGGACTGGGAATGGGAGCGGGTTTGTATCAATCTATCATTTCCATCTAAATAAGGTAGGTACTCTTTCCCTATAAATTATACCCGATAAGCCTCTAAACGGCAGATCTCCCGGCCGAGGCGGCAATCATCTTGCATGAACTTTTCACCGAGCGCGAACAATTCCTTGCTCGCAATCCTATCCTCTTTCCTAATTTCTTGAAACCCACGATGCGCTATCCTTTCTACCTCCTCATGGCTCGCCCCATCTCTACGAGCCCGACGCCAGATATCGCGCTCCAGATCAAATATTCTCTGTTGCGCTCGAGCTTGCGCTTGGACATACTCCTTTTGTAATTTCCATCGCCGAGCCTTTAACTGCGCTATCCTTTTCGCTTCCGGATCTTCCGCCTTCCGAGGCCAGCATCCACAAGCGTAGTTTGCCACTGTATGAGACCAACGGCATGCGCTATCGACAGTGGCGGCAAACGCTTTGGTGGTAACAGTTCGTGCATTGGACAAAACGCCCTGTCCACGACGGAAGGTGGAAGGCATCCATTTTTTTGGGCCTCTAGGGCTGGGCTTGCCATGCGTTCTCGTCTTGCCTTTCGCCATAGAATCGATCGTTGCCCCGACCGGAAGGGATTCTGAACGAGCATGGCCCATTTCCAGCAATGCGTATCCATCCTTTGCCTTATGTCGGGAAAGAAGGTTGTTAAGAGAGCGTGAAATGCGGCTGCACCTTACAGCAATGGCACGGGTCCACGATGTCGAAAGCCGCTGATGATCGCAAGTTTCGCTAAAGAGAGTGTCGTAACTCGGCGGCGTTGTCTTGGAACACAGAGGAAGGGTATCTTGCCCGTGCCGAACTGGTCTATCCACGCGATTTGTGTCCAAGGCACATCGACATGGACAGCAATTCTGATCTATGCCACCGGTAATAGAGTATGGGGGGGACGGTGTTGACTCCAATGATGTTGACTCCAAGGAGTGTGCTTGACTCGCATCACAGGCAACGTGGGAATGGACAACGTTCCCCCGATTTTCTTCTGCATCAGTTGGCGAGGCCATGGCGTTCGTTCCAGGTTGCTTCTATTGAAAGCGGAGAAACAAGGATAAGTAAGAAAGAGCGAGGTGGTGATGAAGCTTAGTCGCAATCGGGAAAAAATAGATTGGGGAAGGAGAAAGGTTCGAGGTAGAAACTACGCTCTGTATGTACCTGCTTTAAATAGAGAAGGCTTCAGTTGTTGATGCAAGTGTGACGTTCAAGAATGAGGTTATGGGGTCCACTTGTTAATCTATATAAAGCTCGCGATGAGAACGACAAATGTCACAAATGAGTCTTCTGGAGTACGTCAACATTCACATTCGTTCGTTACGGCACCTTACGCGCTCAATACGTTTCAAGTCATTTCCGCATCATGACGAACTCAATGTAAGTAAATTGCTCTTGATATTTGTAGTGTATCGTTAGTAAACAATGAAACAGCGAGCTGCAAACTCTATCGGAGCCGCACGAGCCCCAAACGCACAGTGCACACAAGCCCCCCGGCGACGGCACACAAGCGTCGACAGCCAACGATGATGCACTGCCTCCGCGATCGGTATCACCTTGTCATCGAAACGAATTAGCGTATGTAGTATTTATCGTAGAGAGATTCTATCAAGTTGTGGAGTGAAGGCTAATGTTGGGTATCATGAAATTAGTGGGGATTCACAATTTACGATACATGGTATACCAGGGAACGCAATCGGGAAATGGTTACCGTCAATACCTGTCAGAGACTGCTCGATTTGATGGTTTAGACGACCATGATCTTGGTGATAGGGGGTGTCCTGGTCATTGGGTGGTCGGGAGGTCGTTGTCGTCTTCCATTCATTTCTTCTTCTTCGTCGAAATGCTCCTCTGGGTCCTCCTCTAGCCCCGCTTCCTCGTCGTCTTCCTCGTCGTCTTCCTCGTCTTGCTCGGTTTTATGTATATTATGTATTATCGTTGAGTGACGGCGGCTTTGTTTTTCAGCGGAGGTAATGGAATAATAAGCGATAATGAATCTCTCGCCTTTTTAGCCTCACATCTGCAATGAGCCTCACACCTGTTGGTCCAACACACAAAACATCAAAAAATAGAACTAAAAATTGCGTTTCGCTGGTATCTAGATGGCCACCCCCCTTGTTCCATGTCCATGTCCCTTTCTTTCCCTCCCGTCTCCCTTTCCATTCTATACCGAAGAAGAAGAAAGAAGAAGACGAAAAGAAATCGTACGCAAGGAATACATCACCAACCCCCCTGAGCCCCCGGGCCTCGAAGTATTCCCTCCCACCTTCTTGCTTGCTTGCTTGCTTGCTTGTTTGTCTGGTTGTCTGTCTGCCTCTGCCTACTGTCACAGCACACGGCACACAATATCCGTTCCGCCCCCTTCCATCGACACCATCAGAATCCATCGTCATGCACCATCATGAATAGAATAGAATAGCAGCGCCACCATCCATCCATCTATCTATCCAGTTCCCAGCTCCAACCCTAACCCACCCGGCCGGCCCAGCTCAATTTAACCTCACCCGCCCATGATGGAACCGCCCAAACCTAACACTCCAGCAGCTTTAACGCCCTCTCAAACCACCCCTCAGTACGCTCACCTCGGAGTCTGCGGAGGCGACGGCCGCGCCAAACTCTTCAACTTCACTTTGATCAACTTTTTCTTCTGCGGCTCAGCTGGTGTCCCTGTCCCATTCCCACCACCACTAGACCTATCCCCTCCACTAGGCACCGAAACCGACGCCGTCGAAACAGACACAGGTGTATTCAACACCGGCGGTGGCGGCGGGGACTGATGCTGCTGCTGCTGCAAAGGTGGTGCTCCCGACGGCAGCGGTTTCCGCTTCTTGATCGAGATCTGTCCACCACTGTGACCACTGCCATTCCCATTAACACCCGGCGAAGCCCGCGCGTTACTATTATGAAGAACAGCCGGTGATCCCGACCGTGCTGCAGAACGCGCCGCTGATGCCGAACCTGAATTTGCATGACCATGACCAGGAAGAGCAGACCGTTTCGGCTGCGCGGGCGTCGCAACAATCGTCGATGAGCTAGCAGTCGCCCTATCAGCGGCGCGGATCTTATCCATCGTCCGTGGTGGAAGCCTATCCCAGGCGGTAAACGGGATTCTAACCAGCTTCCTTCGCTGCCCATTCCCATTTGCACCGCTCTCGACGCGCGCGACCTTCTTGGGGCGGTCTGGACCGTCGCCCTCTTCGCTCTTCCGTTTCTTCGGCAGCTTAGGCCGTTTGTCGGTTGGTTTGGCTGAGCCGTTGGTGTGTTGCTGGCCAAACCCGGCAGTCGTCGGCGAGGGCGTTGCGGCTAATGGCGTGGACAGCCGTGCGCGGGGCTGGACGGAAATCGAGTCTGACCTGGCGGGTGTTCCTGCTTTTGATGCGGGTTTTGTTGCTGGTTTCGATGCAGTTATCACTGAGGTTGCTGCTGCTCCTACCGACGCAGGACTTGCCGTGAGAGCAGGCGGCCGCGACACAGTAACAGAAATCGAGTCTTTCCGTCCGTGAGGCCCCGGCGTCGAAGGACCACCGGTGGAAGACCCGGCCTGGGCGCCGCTAAAGGACCGGTTAGTGTGGAGCTTAATCATCTTAACCTCGGGCACTTTAGCAGCGTCGGCGGCCGGCGGTGCTGGAAGCGGTGGTGGCACCATGTTCATGAGGTTCCTGTGGCGCGGGTGGGTGCGGTAGTACGTCGAGAACTTGATGACGCACTGCTTCTTGGCCCCGTTGCCGTTGCCGTTGCCGTTGAGCCGCAGCGGGTTGAACGGCCCGTCCACTATCGGCTCGCGCGTGCATCGCCAGACCCTGGGGTAGTTGAAGGTGTACAGCAGCGAGTCGTCCGCGGCGAACATGGCCGAGCACACGGCCAGCAACTGGAATTTCTCCTTGGCACTGATCGACGACGACTCGACAGCCGTCCACGTAGCCGCCTGTAGTTCCGTGTTGCCCTTGAGCTCATCGCGCAGGGCCTCGACGGCCGACTGGATGCTCTGGTTGCGCGTCGCTGCGAGCTGTCTCCGCTGGATCTCAGCCTCACCCTGCTCGACCACCAGCCCCGTGTCGTCGACCTCCATCTCGGGCGTCGCTGCCTGCGCGGCCTTGCTCTCGCCCAGGGCCACGGCGGCCATGCCTTGACAGAAGATCTTGAACAGCCGGTCGCGCACAAACGGCGACGGGTCGGTGCCCACGCTCGCGAGCAGCAGCTTCATAATCGGCACCTTCGCGAGCAGGCCGAGCTCGACTAGACACTCAAATGCCGTGATCCGGATGAGGTCGTAGTTGCCGTCCTGCAGGTACCGCACAAACTCCAACGGCTCCGTGCGCACCACGTTGGCCTTCATCAGGCGCATCTTGCACTGCAGCGCCGTCGTCGTCCAGATGTTCTGGTATGTCGACGTCCACTCGTCCATGCGCCGGTACTTGTCGATCTCCTCAATAGTCTTAGTAATGAACCGCCGCAGCTCCGCCTCTTCGTCATCGTCCGTCCTCAGACTCGAGAACAAATCCCGCTCGTTGTCCCACCGGTCTGGGATGATCGACGTCGTTAGCGCCTCCAGGAGCTTCGCGATGTAGAACTGGTCAGAGTAGTCGTTCTCCGAGTTGTCGTTGAACAGCACCAGGTCCAGCAGGAAATTCCGCGCTTGCCGCGAGCACCGCCCATTCTCCCGCGTGCGCGCGATCGCCCCCGGGAGCGCGCACTGCACCGTGTACTGTGCCTTGTCATAAAAATCGTTGGGCCCCGGCGGGAACGTGACGCTGCCGTCTTTGCCCACCACCCGGTCGCAAAAGTAGTGCCGGAACATCAGGATCAGCTGCGCCGTGCCGATGTAGTTGATCTCCGCCCCGGCCTGCTTCGGCAGGTCCTCGATCGCCAGCGTGCGAATCCCGTGGAAGTACCGTCGGTCGAGCCCCGTCCGCGTCTCGATGCTCGAGGCCACCCCGTGCCGCTTCCCGCGCCGGAAGAACAGCATCGCGTCCTGGTGCGCGACCACGTCTCGGTCTTGCTGCAGCTGTGCCAGATACATGTACCCCGGCATATCCGTGCCCATCTCGCACAGCCACTCAAAGTTGCAGTCTAGCCGGATCCACTCATAGGACTCCTGGTCCATTGCCACCTGCACACTGTCCGCCCAGTCCTGGAGCCCCCAGTTCTCGATATCCCGCTGCGACATCAGCACGTCGCCCAGCATGTTGAAGTAGACCACATCGTCCTCCTGGATGTCGTGCTTGTCCGCGGCCCCCGTGCCGGCCACCGCCGCGGTCGCCTTCTTCGTACGCTTCATGCGCTTGTACTTGGTGTTGTACGCGATCTGGAGCGTTGTCGCCATCTTGTCCTTATCCGTGATGGTGAGATAGTGCTCGTATGGCGTGCCGTCCGCCTCGTGGATGCGCACCGTAAATGGGCCCGTGAAATGCTTCGGCACCGTCCCCGCGTACACCTCGTGCACCTCCTCCAGCAACTCCTTCAGGAACTCGCTCTTGGTGATAGCCTTCGGCGCGTTGTCTTTCCCTTGAGTCTGTGCGACCGAGATATCCACATTCAAGTTCTTCTTGTTGAACCTCTGCTTGATCTGCAGCCTCGGGCACCCCGCCGACTGAACATACTGCTGCCACAGCTCGTCCGGCGGGTATTGGCTCTTCTTCTCGCACGCTCGCCGGAAATCCCCGTCCGCGAGCGAAGTACTAGTGATGGTCGCGTTGATGTTCGCGTTGGAGACGATCTGCGAGATGACGCGTACTATCCCCATCGAACCGGGGATCTTGGACATGCGCTGGTCCAGAATGAAGAGCACCAGCGGCGCCTTGAGAGACATGAACTCGAGCTCGAAGTCGCCAATATGCAGGTGCTCCCCGAGGTCGTGCAAAGACGGCCGATGTTCGTCCGTTTCCACCAGCTTGTCTGATAACGTCTTGATGTGGAACCGGTACCAGTTGTTGCCGCATATGCTCCTCATGAACAAGTCCGTCATGAACCACTGGATGCCCACAATGAGCCAGCTGTCGGACCGCTGGTTGGGCACAATGTGAACACCAAAGTACTGGCTGGCTAGCGCGTGGACCAGCTTTCTCGTGACTTCCACTTCCGGGTCGATCATGTCGTCTGGGTAGAGCAGCCTGTTGCTGCACAATGACATTGATGTGGCCGCCACCGTGTCCGAAACCATGTCGTCGACAAAGCAGACCTTGTAGCTCTCGAAGGGGTACCGCCCGAACTCGGGGGCAAAGAAATCCGCCGCGGCTACAATCGGAGCGCATGTGTGACGTACGTCGTGCGCCCGCGTCGGGAGGCAGTAGGCGTGGATCTTAGCCGCATTAGCGCCGAGCTTCTCATCCGCTTCCTCCGTACGGAACTCGGACCACAACTGGACGTGCTCAAAGGGCCCGATGGCAAACGCTACGTGCTGAGCGGCCGAAAGTTGCGACTCAAAGGTCATAATCTTCTTCGTGTTGTCCTCCGGATCGATCTGCTCCCCCGCAAGGTTGCCGGAGCAGACAACTGTCATCTCCATCAGCTTGTCCTCCTCCGACAATAGCGGCCCTTCCGGAGATGCGGGTTGGGCTTCCCCGCGTTTCCTCTTGCGGCTCTCGTCTAGGCTCTGAGCAGCAGGAACCCCTTGTGTCGCCAGCGGTTGCTCAAACACATCGGCCAGTGTCCTGGGGCACTTGATCGAGATCTTCCATGGATGCCTCGACCCGGGGTCGTCGACGCAGGGGAAAATGCAAGAAGCCGTCCCCGGCTCGAGGGAATGGCGCGTGTAGACGTGCGGGTATCTCAGGTCACCCTCCTCAACGCCGACAAAGTGCAGGCCGTCGCGGATGTTCTTGGAGCGGAAAGGAATGGAGACCTTAATCCCATTCTTCTCGTCGTTCGGGTCCGGCCGGTCGAGCGGGGCATCCTTGTCGGCTTTTGACGTCTTGATCTTGAGGGCTCGTCTGGGCTCGTCCTTGAACATGCCATCGGGGCGCAACGACACCTTGACCGAGCGGTCTGCCGGGACACAACATGGCAGCATTTCTCGGTCCTTGTTAGGGACCTCGGGCCGTCGAGCGGGCCGAAGTGGCGCCATCCGTCGTTTAACCAGATGATGTTGACCCGCGCCGACCTGCCATGTGTCCGGCGTTCGCGCCAGGTCGTATGGGTCGGAGAAAGATGCGGTTGTCTTGAATCCATCCACTGTAACATTCTTAACGTCGATTTCGCATTGCCGCGCGTCCAAGAAAATCTCGTCGAGGTCCGGATTTATCGTGAAGAGATGGATCGTCGACACGCCGCTAATGCTCTTTTCGCGAAAGTTGAGTTCCAGCTCGACATCCTGCTTGATGATCACAAACGGCTCGGCGCCTGCGGGGAGCTCTGACGCTACGCCAGACTCGCCGCCCGTCTCGGTTTCTATAGCGCCCGGCATTGTCGCAGGTGTAAAAGACCGCGTCGGATACTGTGAGGAAGAGATGGGTGTGTTGCGAAAACACGGATATGGGGGGAGAAGTCGATTAATCGGTCAGCCGTTCGCGGCTCGAGAAATCGGGCGGGGTTACTTGGTCATTGCAACACGGTCGTCACTAGCGTGAAGTAGAGGTCAAATCCGGAGGTCGGCCTGATGGAGAATCGATTTCGCAGGTTGGAGAGGGGATTCGCGAATCGTTCTTTCGTGGCCGCCTGGCTGGATGGAACTCGAGGCCTCCAGGCGATGCGATGCGATCGGTCGGGGGGAGGAGCGGGGTGTTCCAGCGAGGGAGGAAGCTCCGCAACTCGAACAATACAGATGGGGGAAGAATCGGGTTTGTGCACAGGCGCGGTAGATGAAACAATGCAGCACAGCACAATCGCGCAAAGTTGTCGTCACTCGGAAATTCGGGCTAGACCTGATGCCAACACCCTGAGTGCAAGGGGGGAAACAGGGGCGTGGCGGGTAGGCGGGAAAAAAAAACTAGAAGGGGAAAAAAGAACAATGGTGTAGCCTTGAACAATAGGCAATTAAAAAGATCAATAAACTGGAAGATGGAAAAGCTCCGGGGGGAGAGAGGTGCAACGCCCGGCAGACAATAACCCCAACCTGCACTGCAAAGACGCGGTTGGAAGTCGTGGAAGGTGCAGGTGACGATTGGGAAAGACCGTGCCCGAGATCGCGGCCGAAGTTTTGCCGGCGCGCCGGCAAGGGAGCGTGTCTGCAAGGCAGCTGCAGGAGCAGGGGAGCTCAAGGGTCCGAGCTCTTTAGATAAGTGGGGCGTTTTTGGTACAATCCATCAACATTCGATCAAATCTTGACAGATTTTGATTGATTTACTCTTCTTTGTCTTTTTTCACTTTTTTCAATTATTCTTTTTTGTCTTTCTTTCACTTTTTTGATTTATTCTTTTTGGTCTTTTTTCAGTTTTGTAGAAAAGTAAGACTTGGTCTGCCGCTTTTTCTGACTCCAGCGAGGTTGGATCTCCAAAGTCTTCCCATCCACGAGTAGCGTATGTATGACTGTCTCAACCCTACCATTAACGACACGAAGGGTAAATAAACCCCAACGTAAGAGTCCCGTCACAAGAATCTTACGTAACAAGCCATGTATCACACAACCTATGGCAGCAACAGCTTCATATTTACTTGACTTATCCCTTTCTCCCCTATGATCAACAACCTGCCTCAACCAGACGAGGAAGAAGAAGAAAAACAGCAATGCAAGGTATCTCTCTATCTGCAAACCCTGATGAGAAAAAGGTCCCCGTCCCAGACCCAGGAACAGCAATATCCGCGAATACCTAGGCTTAGCCCGCTGACAGGCTGTGCTGAATCCATGATGCATGCAACTAAACAAACAATGTACAATGTAATATAGAGTAGTAACAACAACAGGGGACGAGAAAAAAAGACACCGAATACCATCATGCATCCATCCATCCTCGCCTATCCGCTCGTCGGTGGCTGGATGGTGGTTGTGACTGTCCCTACCCATATAAAACAAAGCTGCCGGGTATGAATTGATACCTCCGTCGCCAATGTAAACCCGTAACGATACCTTCAAGCCCGGTCCCAATCCCAGACACCAACCCAAGAAACAGGAGGAGAGAACCCGCAATCCCAATGCGAAACACACAGAATTCAACCCAGATTACCACCAACCCAAATTCCAGCATGCATCCAGAACGAGCCTGCTAAACTTACGTCTTCCTCCTCTTATCCCGCCTCCTCCGCCTCGCATGCATACTCAACGTTTCCTGGTCCAGCAACTCACTGGGTAACTGGAACTCTGCCTCTTCCATGTCCGGCACCGGGTGGCCCCACGCCAGCACGTTGCGCCCGCCGCGCCGGCGCCCCTTGTTGAGCGCGGCGTCGCGCTGGTACTTCTTGGCGAAAAATGAGGTGAACTCTTTCGCGGGAAGCTCGGGCAGGGGTTCGTGATCGTGTGGGTCGGTGTCAGGGGCATCGTGTACTGCGGATGAGGTTGATTTTGATGTTTTCTTGTTGGCGGTGGCGGTGGGTTTTCTGCGTGTTGGAGCGCGTTTTTTGGTTGCGCCCGCGGGTTTGCTGCTGGAGGCGGTTGTCTTCGTCCCTCTGCCTCCTCGTTTCTTCGCCACGGCAGCCAGCGCCTCCTCCCTAAGTTGTTTGGCGGCTGATGCTTCCACGTCGTTTTCATCGTGCGGCTCGTCTTCATCCTCATCGTAGCGGCCCTCGTCATAGCTATCGGCCGTCTGACTACGGACACTCCGACTCCGGGCGCTTCGGCTCCTAGAACTCTGACTCCTGTGCCTCGAAGTGGCCTCACTAACTTCACTTCCTTCCCGGCCTCTGGTCTCCTCTTCATCCCCACCGCCACTACTCCTGTCGCGTCTTCGGCGCTTAAGCGTCTCGGCCTTCCTCCTCTTCTCCTCCTTGGCCCATCGGCGGAACTTGTCGAGGATACTCTCGCACCCGCGGATAAAGTAATCCCGTGCCGGCTCAAATGACCGTTTCTTGGTCTCGGTCACGCCGCTGACGCCCATCACACGTAGCCAGTCGTGTCCCTGCAGTCCGTCTAGCAGACGTATGATTTGGTCTTTCTCGTGCTGTGCCCGGCCTTTCTCCGTGTTCCGGATCGATCGCTCCATGCGCTCGGCCTTTTTGTGGGCTGGCGCGAAGAGGCTGTCGGGAAGCGGGTCGGCCTCTTCCGCCTCGGCTGCGGCGTTGGCGTTGGCACCCGTGCTCGATGCATTGTTATGGCTCGTCCAGTCGTTGGTTCCTGTTCCTCCCGGAGATTTAGTCAGGAAGGAAAAGTCGATGCGTTGTGCATCATGTAGGTTCGTGTAGAGCTCATCCCCATAGCTGTGAATGGGGTATTCGGTGGGCTGTGGAGGATCTTGGTGGGGTTGTGTTGATGTTTGTTGTGGTTGTGTTTCGGGAATGATCACGATGGGTGTGTCGACATCGAGGAGATCTATAAACAGAGGCGATTAGCAATTGGCAATTGACTACCATGCGACAACAACATCAATTGGATGTGATGACACGGAAAGGGGAGCACCTACGCGTTTGCATTGGGTCATTGCCAATGACCTCATCGTACTCGGGGAAATACGCCGACAGCTCGCTCTTGAAGCGAGTCGCCTCCTGTGATCTGAGCTTGCGGCCTTGGTCTTGAGTGCTGGAACTAGCGACAGTTGCGTCGCTCGTGCTGGGCTGCAGTCTGTCTAGCTCGTGCTTCAACCCATTGACCACCTTCGTCTTGTATTTTGGAACCTTTTCTTGCTGTGGTTGTTGTTGTTGTGTGCTCGCGTGGGCAGCTTTGGGGGCGTTGGCAGCGCTGGTGGATGGAGGGGCGCGGGCATTTTTAGGAGCTGCTCCAGCGGGTTTCGGGGGCTCAACGGCAGTGGTTGTAGTGGGCCTATACTTCGACGTCGCGTCGGTCGCAGCGGCATTGTTGTTGACGACGTGGTCTCGGAGCGAACGGCCGTGGGCGGACGACAACTTGGCCGGAATCTCGACGGAAATTTCGCTAGTCAATCGCGAGGTGCGGGCCTTTTTGGCCGGGGCCGAGCGATTGCCGGTGTCGTCGTGGGTGTCGCGTTGGTCGCGTTCGGCCGACGACGGGTCGAGCTGGCGCTTCCTCGGGTTGCTCGGGCGGGGTGGCGGCGGTGCGATATAGGGGGTTTTCGCGCTGCCCAACGCGCCGGTGCCGTTTGCGACCTTGGGCGTTGGCAGTGCGAGACCTTCCGACCGACGCGAGCGGGTCATGGATGCGGTTAATGCCATACCGAGGCCGCGATCATGCCGCCCGCAAGCGATGGCGAGGGAATTGGAAATTGGATTGCCAATTGAAGGGTATCCAGGGCGCGCTAGGTAGTGTGAGCGGTAGGGCCTTCCTGGTTTTGCTTGGCGGTTTTTTGACAAGCGGAGGAGCGAGTGCAAGTGCTGTTGCCGCTTTGAAGAGATGGAATTGAATGATCTTCTACAACTGCACCAAAAATTCGAACATGACAACCGCATCAGTGCACTTCCATTGTCAATCGGGTCTTTCAATCTATTGTTCGCCGCCACCTCTCCATTGTTAACTGACACAATAGCTCGCTGTGCTTTAAACGCGCTTCTGCTGTCACATGATATCCAACCCTAACCCTTACCCAAATAGCTCAGCACCTCAGCTCAGCTCAAGTCATCAGCAGCAATTCAACAGCGGAGCTGAAAGCTGATGATTATCAATTTCTGAACGATCGAAGTCAATTGCTCAGGAGCTTAGCCACAACAACTACCGAACATGTAAACCAAATTCATGACGTGTTTAGCCACGCATCTGCAACAGTTTCTTGCTCTTCCATTCCCTTCAACTTCGCAACGCCCGTATTCAATCATTAAACGACTCCCTCACTCTTCCCCAGCCTCCGAAAGTCCGAAGTCACTCTAGCCTCGTCCTCCCTACCGGAATCATAAACTCAACATATCACACACTGACAAAGTCCGCAAACATGTATTCTCAAATCACGGTAAACTTCAAAAACTGTATTCCAAATATACAATAACTCAGTGCATCAACACCCTACTTTTCCAACTCAGTCTCATACAAGACATTCAGCGCATACCATCCCATTCCAACCTCCCAAACCCATCCCAAAATACCAAGTCGAGCAAGCTCATCAAACAATAAATACTAAAGTCCACCCCAAATATAAACCAACAATCCACCTTCCACTCCTCTCCCCCTTTTATACATGTATAATATAAATGCCATGCCCGTGTCTAGTCCCAGACGAAACGAACAGCAGATGATACTTAGCCACCAAACGGGCCAAGGTTTAGAAGTGAAAACCAATGCGCAGTTAGGCAGCAAGCCAGCCAGCCGTGTATGAGAATTAGATGAAGAAGATGAAGAAGAAAGGGGCTTTGACCCCGAGAAGTGAGGCCGCCAAAATAGGGTAGGTAGTAGGGGTATTCCAGATTCCAACAGTCGATCGATACTCCGGGGAAAGAAAAAAAGAGAGAAGAAAATGGACCGGAACCTGGGGAATTCATCCCATCCCATATCCAAAAAAAGAGCCAGAGCCAGATCCAGACACCCCCTAAATACCCCAACGCCAACCCCCATATCCAATCATATCACCCCAGATTACACCTACGCCCCCGTAACAGCCCTCCACCGTCCCTCAAACCCCCTAACTGCCATCCTCTCCTCCTCTAACACCCTCTGCAGCCGCCTCGTCTCCCGCACCGCCTCCTCCCTTGCCTCCTGCAACCTCAACACCTCAATTTGCGCCGTATTCATCCGCCCCACAACCTCCTGCATCTCCGCATCCGCCGACGCCAGCGCGCCCTCCAGCTCCGACACGCGGGACTGCAGCGTCGACACCTGCGAGATCATATCGACGGGGGCGGTGGCCGCGCGACGGATGGTGGGGCGCGGGCTCGTGGGGTCGTCGTCCTCGTTTTCGTGGGAGGATGGGGATAGGGATGATTTGCGTGGGGGAAGGGTGGTCTGCGGCTTGAGGTTGATGAACATCGGGGAAAGCGGCGACTTGCCTGGGAACACGCGCGGCTGGCCGGAGCCGCGCCGGGGGCCGCGGCCGCCCATGGCATCGCGCAGACGTTGTAGTTGGTCAGAGTGGGCGTCCTTGAGCTCGCTGACCTCGTCCTCGTGGCGGGCGATGCGCTCTTCGGCCGCGCTCTGGGCCGCCTCGACCTGTTCCTCGAGGGTGCGCAGGCGGGATTGCATGCCCGCGATGCGCTCGGTGCTGACGCGCTGCTCGGCGTCGCCGCGGGCGATGGTGTCGGCTAGGCGCGTGCGGAGGGTGGCGTTGGCGTCGAGCTGGGCGCGGACTTGTTGGGCGAGCTCTTCCACGCGGCGGGCGGACTCGTGTAGTTGGCTGGCGAGGTCGTTTTCGGTGTCGAGGTGCTGCTTTTCGAGGGCTTGGAGGTTGTCGATTTGGTCGAGGTAGGCGCTGGCGTCGGCACGGGCGCTGTCGCGGTCTGAGACGGTGGCCGCGAGGGATTGTTCGAGGCGTTCGATGGCGAGTTGGGTTTTCTCGTCGGGGCGGGTATTTTCCTCGAGGGCCTTGATGCGATCGATGGCGTCCATGTAGGCGCGTTGTAGGTCGTGGTACGCCTTCTCGAGGGTCTGCGAGCTCACGGGCGTGTCGTTGCCCTCCTCGCTGTGGCTGCTGCCCGGGCGAGCGAAGGCCTCTGGGATGAGGATATCGTTCTCCTTCAGGAGCCCGCGCAGGGAAGCGATCTCGCCCTCGGCACGGTCCAGATCCATCTTTAGCCCGGCCAGACCCTTCTCGACCTGCCACTTTTGCTCAATGGCCTCTTCTGCCCGCCGGCGCAGCACGGCAATCTCCTCGCGGAGGTTGGACACCTCCCGCTCGTACCCGACCTTCTTGGGCGAGGCCGTGAGCAGACGGTCGCGCTCCATCTCGAGGTGGTGTATCCTCTTGGCATTCTCGCGGTTCTGGATCTCTTGCCTCTCAAGCAGGCTCTTAAGCGCGCTGTGGAGGGCGTCCCGCTGCGCTTCGACATCCTTGAGCCGCTCGGCCAGGACATCGCGGGGTTCATTGACGCGGGTAGATGCGGACCGCGAGATGGACTGCGGGCGCTTGTGCCGTAATGGACCGCCCGTGACGGACGCCGACCTCGACAAGCCCATCGACATGCGCGCCACAGTGGTCTGCTTGTGCTCGGCGACATCGCGCGACCCCAGCATGCGCAGCTCGGCGTTTTCGGATCGGAGCATTTGCAATTCTGCGTTTTCTGACTTGAGGTTTTGCAACTCCTGCTGCATCTTAGATGCGTCGTATGCAGACCGTGCTTGGTCGGCTGCTTCAGCCTCCAGGCCCTCGAGCCGGGAGCGCAGCTGTGGGACGACCTCATCGCGCAGGTTGTCCCGCTCGTTCGCAGCCGTCTGGAGCTCTCCCTGGACCGAGCGAAGGAGACCTTCAAGGTCGGTTTTGGCATTGCGCTCCACCGACAACTTCCGGCTAAGCTCCTCGCATGCGCTCTCCAGCTCCTGGACCCGGTTGGTGGCATCACTGGTGTCGATCTGAGCCACATCAAACTCAGATGCCTTCTTGGATAGTTCCTGTATTTGCTGGTCCAGCTCCCGGCGCTTGGAGCGCTCGTCTTGGAGCTTGTTGGTGAGTTCTAGCCGGATCTGGGCCTTCTCCTGTTCGGCCCGCCGCTGGATCTGGGAGATCTCCTCCTTGGCCTGGTCGTAGTCGCTGAACTTGGCCGAGCTGTAGCCCGAGTCGGAGAAGTAGTCACTCGTCCGTTTCCCAGGCGCCTGTGGATTGCTGACTTGTTCCTGTAGCCTGTCTACTAGATCCTCCAGGTCCATCTCACGCCGAATGGACGAGGCCAGCTCGACGCTGATGGCCTTCAGTTCGTCCTCCATCTCCTCGAGCTGACCGAGTGATGATGGGGGGTCTGCGGGTGTCTGAAGGTAGGACTCGCAATATTGCAGGGAGTCCTGCTCTGTGGCATGAGAAAACGACCGATCCCTGGGCGCGCTGAGCGGAGCGTCGTCGTACGACCCGATCACAGCCGCCGCTTGCTTGGGTGATGAGGGCGAGGGAATGGGCGAGTAGTCCTTGTCGGAGAATTCGGTCGCAACGGTGGCTTCTGGCGAGGTGGCCCAGCCGAAGAAGGCGCTCAGTTTGGATGACGCTGGTGATTTGGGTAGTGGCTTATTAAGATTACTTTGTTCTAGTGATGAGGACGATGCCAAAGCCGATGCTGAATCCGTGGCCGCGCTTGGGGGTTCATCTCGCGTGTTGGTGGGCGCAAGTTTGAGTTGTGGTGGAGGGGATTTGCGAGAGAACATGGACATGGTCCTCGCGTTGGGATCGATTATGGTGGAACGTTTGTCGTCGTCGTCTTCGTCGTCCTCCCTTGGAGTGCCCCGACTCTCCAGCCCGTCGTCCGATGTCCGCGAGTCAGACACGGAGTACAAGTCGTCCAGCTCGTACGGGTCACCCCCTTCTTCCTCTTCGTCGCCGTCTTCCTCTGCCTCTTCTTGAAAAGAGGACTGGCTGGCGGTTTCAACGGTCTCGGCCACGCTCGGACTCTCGTCCTCTTGGGGGCGCGCGGGATGTGTTTGAGGCGCTGCAGGGTTGATTCCCGCAGTGTTTCGCAAACACGCCGCGTCGTGTCCCGTGGCGACGGATGGCGGGACGGTAGCCTGCGCAAAGTAGTCGGACACGAGAGCTGATCTGATCGAAGAAAGCCGGGTTAGCCTGATATAACACACACCATTATTGCCACCAGCACCACTTTAGCCGAGTCAGGTTGGTCGCAACAAAGGGAAACAAATCCCTTTCCCACTACTACCCAGCCCCCCAAAAAGAAAGAAACCAAAGAAACGGAACACGCTGCGGAAACAGTGAAACAATACAACAACGTACGGTAGGCTGCTAGCGTCCTGGACCGTATTCAACGAGCTAGTCGTTGGTAACGGACTACGCTCCCCGGGAAACTCGTACAGAGTCGGACTGTCGAGCGAGCACGAGCGGGCAAAGCGCTGCTCGGGGCGGGGCAGGTCGGCGAGGATATCGGCATACACGGCCGCGCCCTTGGAGAAGCGGACAGCGGCAGGTGAGGCAGTCGACGACAGCGGCTTGCGCTTAATGGGGCCCGAGAGATGGGCGAGACTGAACGAGCGGCCGTTGCGAGGACTGGGCAGTGGGCGCTTCCCCGGGAGGGCCTCCAGATCGGGAAACGCGTCTGGGTTGTGGTCGGAGTGATCAGAGTGGTCGTAGTGGTCGTAATGGTCGTAGTGGTGGCCTTGGTCGTGGTCCGTTTGGACGAGTGTTTCGTCGAGGGGTTGGGCGGAGGACGAGGGGTGGTGGGACGAGGGGGCCGGGCGCGGGAACACGACTTCGGACGGTGCAGATGGTCCAGACGGTGCAGACGGTGTATCAGACGCTGAAACGGGCAGAGCGGGTGGCGACGGCGGCATAGTGGTGTCGACGACGTCGCCTGCGCGGCCCTCTCCGTGAGCAGCCATGGTGGCATTCATAAGGGCGTTGTTGCGCTACTCCCCATTCGATTGGTGCTGCAAAAACAGAGCAATTAATTAACACATTGAGATTTGAGACCGACGAACAGGCTCGGCAATGGGCAAAGGGGCCGCTTGTCTCCCAGATTCTCAGTGAGGGAAAAGAGCGAAAAGGAGCGGACGCCCGCTCATCGACCCCTTCGGTGCAAAAGGTAGCGCTAGCGCCGGCGATTCGCCAGGGGCCAGATAGAAAGGTTGCATCGTAGCCCCATTTTCGGAAAGCTTTCAAGCGCCATCGACAGGGGCAAACCCGCGATGGCTGGCCCCAAGTGCCCCGCAAGGGCCGCTCCCACGCCTGGGCGCAACCCTTGTCCACTGTGTGCAACCACCCACGCGCCCCGTTCCTTGCAGGTGTTCCCCCTGAACCGTTGCATGACAGCCAATCACCGAGTCGTACCGCTCTCGATGGGGAATTGGCCAATCCGCTGATGTTGTGCATTCCGGATTCCGGTGCTGAGAATGAAAGGGAGGAACCAGACAGGCGCGCATAATGGAAGCCAGCCACTCCAGCGTCCACCAAAATGGCACTCGGACCATTGGGAGCTCCAAGTGCCTTTTCCTTTCTCTCTTCTCAAATCATCAAGGTCCTTCGCAACGCTCCATTGGTTAGGAGGTTTTCTTCCCATCTCAAATGGAGCGGTTCCTGCGCTCCCCACAAAGACCAGGGTTGAGACGCAGCTGAGCCGCCGCCACGAACAAACTGCCGTTGATCGCGATACAAAGCCGACAAGGAGGCATCGATACACAGGGCGACGGCACTGGGAGACTGGGCCGAGCAGAAAGAAAGGGGAAAAGACGACACTGTGTCAAGCCATGTTCCACTGTGATGCACAACAGCCCACGCTGTGAGCGGCGGCGCTTTCAAGTTGCGATCGGCGCATTTTACGCTGCTAAATCCGGACGCGTCTTACCGAATTGGGGTGGCATCAACGGACGAGACCCCCAATGGGAGTTGACAGGTTGACCCGCGATACATGGAACCAAACCTTTGAGTCCATGGCGAGACTACCATCGAACTAACTTTCTTTGAGCTTGGAAGTTCCTCTGGATTGAACTGCTCACGTCGACTGACCCTTTCTTTTTGACGTTGAGGCGACCGTTTCAACTACGCGCCAAGACGACCGTTCCTGATGCACAAAGCACACCTCCTGCAGTTGCAGCGCATGGCAGCAAAGGCACGGTGGTCAAAAAGCAATTTGCTGACAAGAGCCTTTGCGGGGGAAACAGGGGTGCAACATGTTAAGCTTCACTCCAAATGCCGAACTTTGACAATCCTATGAGCCGTCACCATCGATCACCATGTTTCTTTGCTCCAGTTTTGTTTTGTCACACAGGTTCCCGTCATGGCCGGGCGATCTGCTTACCTAGCTGTCATGGAATTCCTGGTTCGAAGAAGACGATAGAACATTTGCGTTTGCTCCAACCCGGTTAGACGAGACCTGGGGCTAACCAGCCCGGACTTGGGTCACGTTTGATCTACGAAACATGTTTCGCCCGCTGCAGTGCCATTTGCCGTTTTTTCGAATATATCTCTGTCCTCCGTCTTCAAGGTCTGACGGGCGTCGGATAGCTACGGATACTTTTTCGGGCTCCTCGACCCAGAGCCAGGGAAATGCCTGTGACGCCCTGGTTAATGGTTTCGTCAGGTGAGCGCTTACATTTAGTCTGTACTTCCGGACCTCGACACCGGACCTTAGCCGCCCGCGCCGTCAGACAAGAGACGGGGAAAACTCCAGATGGCCGTGTTTCACACATGACATGGTCCGTAACGGAAGGTGGCCAAGCCGGCCCGCCAAAGACCGGACGTTCCACTGCCAAGCAACTCCAGACGGTTCCGTTTTACAGTCTTGGGCGGCTGCCAGACAGAATGCGAATATCCAGGCCACGATTTCGGCGATCTTTGAGCAACAATCGAGATACGACCACGTAGTGCAACGTTCATGGAAGCGCCGACCTGATGGCTGCTCGTGCCACAGCATCACGGTATTACAATCCGCAAGCCTTGCCCGACGTTGCCATGCCGGAGCTCATAAGAATGCCAAGATATTGCGGGTTAGGGTTAGACCTGACAACGGACCCCCAAAACCGACGCCTTGGACCAAACCTGTGTTTGCGTGACCTTCAGGCGCAAAAACATGGGCATACTGCAACAAATACCGCCAAAACGGACTGATTACTCCCGCCTTCGGCACGTTACGACGTCAAATACTACACGTGTAAATTTTCTGAGCTATTTTGCTAAGTTGACGCCGCCCTATGTGGCCCAAAGTGTCGCTTTGATGGCGAGCGAAAGGGGCGGCCGCCACGGGTTAGGGTTAGACGTGATGAGCCCCGATGAGCCCCGATGAGCCCCATAACCTGGCGCCTCAGACCCAAACTTGCGTTTGGGTCACGATCAGCCTCAAAAACACGAACACACTGCGACAAATACCGCCTTAACAGACCAATTACTGTCTTCTGCTGCAGCCCTAAATACCAAATAATATACTTGTGAGTTTTCAGAGCTATTTTCCTAAGTTGACGCCACCCCAAGACCCCCCAAGTGTGGCGAGCGAGAATACCAGCGGGGGCGGTTACGGGTTAGGGTTAACTGTGGGTACCCCCATAGGTCCCATAGCCAAGCGCCTCAGACCAAAACTTGCGTTTAAGTGACGATCAGGCGGAGATACCACAGTGAATACGCCAAAACCAGGCGTAAAACTTCAAGATTCTGTGATAAGTTATACAAAAAGTTTCAGACAGCAATTTTCAGAGCGGCTTTGTCCCGGTTGCGGCCTCTGCACGCCAAATAACTGTCATACTCATGAGAATGGGTTCGGGTTATGTAAGCCCAAATCAAAGATTTGCGAGCTTAACCAACTGAACCAAAAAATCGGAACTTGCGTTTGGGTCTTGTCGAAGCTCGGAAAAACAGCGACAGCATCAACAATTCAGCATAAAAAGGCTACTTGCTGCGGCTAGGGGCAAGATACCATTGAGAACATTCCATCTCCAAATTTTCAGGACTTAGAGAGCCAATCTGCTGCTCTGGAAGCTCAAGAATGCCATTTTTGAGAGGACAAAATGAATTGCTTGCAATTCCCACGGCAAAACAGCTCCGGGTTAGGGTTATGTAAGGCACGCTCACACCCCGGCCCAAATCAAAGATTGCGAGCTCAACCAACTGAGCCAAAAAATCGGAACTTGCGTTTAGGTCCCGTCGCGGCCCAGAAATCGAGCGACAGCATCAACAATTCAATACAGAAAGACAATTTGCAGTGGATAGTGGCAAGTTGTTGTGAAAAACATCCTACCACCAAATTTTTAGGGACCATCCAGCCGAATTCGTTGCTCTAGAAGCTTTCGAGCGTCGTTTTTGAGAGGAAAAAGGAATCGCTTGCAAATTCTCGTGGCAACCCAGGTTAGGGTTAGGGTTGTATGCGTAGCTCATACCCCTGTACCATAACGTAGCGCCTTAGTCCACTCGGCCAAACCTCGAGTTTGGACGTCGAATTCACGGCAAGAAACGGCAAAACCACCGCGAATTCAAGCCGAATTGCCAAGATGTCTAAGTCTGTTTAAAATAAAAGTGTAATTACACTACCTGACAGCTTTTTTAGACTACAAAAGTCCTGTGGAAGTGCGACATGGTTGTGTTTTCACGAAAGAATCGTTTGACTCGAAATGTGAAGGGTTAGGGTTGTATGTGCCGGCCATACCCCTGTACCACAACCTGGCGCCTTCGTCCACTCGGCCAAACCTCGAGTTCGATGTGAAATTCACGGGAAGAAGCGCGAGCAACTGAGCGAATTCACGTTGAATATGAGTTATATACTGATACATGTTAAGATATTGTGCAAATTATCACCTCTGAAGATTATCAAGAGCATACCGGTTCTGGTTTGCGGTATGAAAGCGTAAAGGTGTCGGTTGTGGATCGAGTTTGAGCCAGCGGAGTAACGTTATAAGGGTTAGGGTTATATCTGCTGCCGATACCCCTGCCCAAGCTTTGCGCCTTAACCACTCGCAAAACCGTGAGTTCGGGTGTCAAGTTGAAGGCGGAAATCACTAACAACACTATGAAAACAGGTCAGGCGGACAAAATTTTGTTATCAATGCTAGTGGGATACGGATAAGATTGTGGCTTGAAATTTTCAGGAGCACAGGAAATCTTGTTTGGCTTATGGAAGCGCCTGAATGTCGTTTTCCATCGAGAACAAAAGGTTTGCAGGCAGGTTGATGGCTGCAAAGCTGTTGGGGTTAGGGTTGTGTGCGCGCCCATACCCCTGTTCCCCGACATGGCGCCTCGGACCACTCGGCCAACCTCGAGTTTAGATATCGAACGTGCCACAAAAACACAGCGGCAGCACATCAATTTAACTGTGATTTTGAAAATATTGAGCTGGGTGATAAAGCACTATATTAATAAGTGGGTTCAGCCTTTTTTGAGACTCTATTTCCCATGCCTGCGGCGAAACCTCATCCAAAGAGGTTCTTTTTGTGAGGAAAGGAAGTTTTTGCTCTGTGCTTGGGCATGGCCCTGCAGGGTTAGGGTTATCTGTGCCGTTCATACCCCTGTCCCCCGACATAGCGCCTCAGACCACTCGGCCAAACCTCGAGTTTGGACGTCGAATTCACCGCAAGAAACGGAAAAAGCGCCACGGATCGGGATCGCCTGGTTAAATTCATGTGTCCATTTGGATTCATGGGGTCCGTATACCACGTGAGGCATTTTAACGGGTTTTGAGGTGGGTTTGCGGTCGTAAAATGGTATAGACGGCCGGTTTTGGGGAGAAAGTTGAGTTTTGCGAGGTTTTGGGGGTGGGATGTTGTTGGGAATGTAGTTTATAGACCAGACGAGCGGGCGTGAGTTTTTTGATTACTTCATAGTGTTGGATCAGTGTCTAGGGATGGTTTATCGAGCCCATCAACATATTGATGTGTCCCATTCTAACTCCATAGAACTTCCCATTTTTTACTTCGCCTTCAGGTATACCAACCTTGGTTGATATGGTCTTCCCACGTGCATATTCACATATCACGACACGAAGTGATTCTTCACAGAAGATAAAGTGATGGAATGCTTTATTCTACCATTGCCTGAAATGCTCATCCTATAGGAGGCCGTCCTCCCATGTAACGTGTTCCCCTCTCTGTCCCTAATTGCCTCCAGCTTTTGGTGCCAACTCCCAACCATGCCATGCCCATGCTAGTAAATCATCAACGCCGCCATGCAATGTAGCCAGATCCAAAGCGGAGAGATGCCCGAACAAACCAAAATATAACCTGCCCAGTGAAAACGCTGAGTAACCAAAAAGGGGCTGCGTATATACCCTCATCTCAACCGTCAACTCTCGATCCTTGAAAGTGTGACGAGCATAAGGTCTGTCAAGGTTTCAAGCTTGACCGTATCCCCCATGTACTCACACCCTCACACCCTCACACCCTCACTCCCCCATCCCCATCCCCATCCCCGTTCTCATTCCCCTCCCCATCTCCATCCCACCACGAACTCTCCACCAACACCTCCCTCTCCCCCCACCTCCCCGCCCTCCTCGAATTCATCCTCACCGGCGTCCGAGAAGCCGAGGCCGCAGCCGCAGCCGCAGCAGCAGCAGCAGCCGCCGCACCATGGGCCCGCCACGCACGAGGCACGGGTGCTGCACCAGGGACAGATCCGGAGGAGGATGTCTCGTTTTCCGTTTGTTGTTGCTGGGGGAGTTGTCCCAAGGACGGCCGCCGGGAACGTGTCCTGCCCCGTCGGACGGTACCTCTCCCTGCGGCGCGCAGACGTTGCGGGGCAAAGGGCGTGCCGTCGATGGGGTCTAGGATGATATCTTCGGGGGTGGTTGCGGGAGCGGCGGTTCCATTTCCATTTCCGGTTCCAGTACCAGTTCCAGTTCCAGTCCCAAGGGCATGTCCACCCCGACGTCTCCGCCGTCCTCGTTCCCGGCCTCTATCACCGGCCACATCAATCCCGAGGTCGAGTTCCCCGTCAACTCCATCAGGCCCGAGATCCCCTAGCTGCTCCATCTGGCCATCAAAGTCCAGGCCTGGGTTGAGCTCCTCGAAGACGCGGCGTAAGGGGTCGTTCACGGGGCAGTCGGGGGCGTGGTGGCAGGTCAGGAAGCCACCGTTGAAGAAGCGATAGGGGGCCGCGCAGAGGTAACACCACTCATGGCCGCAGAGGCCTGGGTTGTTAGTGTAAGTAAGTGTGCTAAAGGACAAAAAGAAAAGTGAGAAAAAAAGAAACCCACAAGTAATATGATCACACCCCTCAAACTTGTGCACATCCCGCCTGCAACTCGGACACGGCCGACTCAGTTTCTGGACCGCTCGCTGCGAGGCCCGGTCGGCCGCACGGCGGGCCTCATCGCGGGTGCGGGTGTCGTACTGGTCGCAGGTTTCGCCGGTATGCCAAGGGACGCGATGCTGTAAACACCAGTTCGCGCGGCACTCGACGCAGCGGAACTGGGAGCAGGCGGCCTCGTGTAGTTGGCCCGAGTTGCACCCAGAGGACAGGCAGAAGTGGAAGGTGTCGTCGCGGGAAAGCAAGGCGTGGGTGATGAGGGTGTCGTATCGGGTGAATGTGTCGTCGTCGTTGTCGTCTTCTATCTCTTTTCCTTCATCTGTCCCTTTTCCTTTCCTGTCCTCCTGCCTCTGCTTGGTTATAACCCCCCTAGCTCCCCCCATAAACCGCCTCACATCCCCCCAATCCAACATCTCCCCACAGTCCGGACACCCTAGCCGATCCCACCTCCCGCCTAGAATCCCCTCTCGCAACCACGTCCGCAAGCACCCCCTACACACCGTCGACAGGTGCCCGCATCGCGCCGTCACGCGGCCCGGCATATCGGCTAGCGTGCAGTCCTCGATGCACACGCTGCACTGCGCAGCGGCCGGGGCCAGCAGCCAGGCCTCGGCACGGATGAACTGGTCGGTTAGGGCCGCGGACGCGAGGGAGAAATCGTAAGTGGCGCCCCATTCGAGAGGCGTGGTCTGGGGGTGCGTTATTGGTTTGCCGCGGAGGGTGAGGCGGATATCGCTGGTGCCGTAGTCTTCCCATCCTTGACCATGACTGTCACTAACACTCTCGTTGTCATCATCTTCCTCCCCGCCCCTCCTTGCCCCCTTTAAAACCCTCCCCCTCAGAAGCCGCACCAACCTCTCCACCCCGACTTTCTCCCGTGTATCTCCCTTCCGCGGATAATACACCCACTCCCTTCCCTCCAACCCACTCCCCTCTGCCCCCTTAACCACCACATATCCCCCACTACCACCACCACTCGTTTTCACTTTCCCTTCCCTCCGCGGCAGGACATCAACAGACAACCACCGACACAACCACCCTGACCTTACCCCTGCCAAGGACCAGTGACTCCCATACAACGGCCGGCCGCGACGCATGCCGTCGCGCGGGATGAGCAAGACACGCCGAGGGTCGGCGAGGTTCAGGTGGGTGGCAATAAGGGCACGGAGGGTGGAGAGGGTTGTGTCGGGGAGCGCGAGGGCGTGTAGGAGAGTCGTGGTGAGGGCTTCGTCGAGGGAGTGTTCGTTGGTTGCGTCGTGTGTGTGATTATGGGGGTGGTGGTGGCTTCGAGAGGACGGCCGGGAGAATTTCCAAGATGGTGGGGAGGATGGCGAAGAGGAGGAGGGTGTTTGTTTCCAAAGGCGATACCAGATTTTGATCTCCTTTTTGTCCCCTTTCGCCCCTTTAACATCCCTCTTATCCCCTTTACTATCAACCTCACTCTCCCTCTGACCTATACCCCCAATGAGATCCCCATCCTTCAACTCCCGCCCGTGGCCATCGTAAAACTGAAACACCGTCGACGACGACAAGGATAACCGCGCCTCGCGGTAGCACTTGCGGGCGTGCCGCTCTACCGAGGCCACGTCGGCGCTGTGCCGGGGTATTGACAGGGCGAACTGGTTGTAGCGTACGTCGAGTGGGCGGAGGAGGACGCGGAGGGGTGATCGGTCGGGTCTCGAGTGGGTGTGGGCGTGAGTGTGTGAGCGAGGGTGAGAAGGTGAGTGAGACTGAGAGTTGGACTGAGAGTTGGACTGGGATCGTGAGTGTGAGTGTGGGTGAGATTGTGGCCGAGGCTGGGGTTGAGACTGAGATTGAGATCCAGAGCGAGATCTCGACGACGGCTTGTGGTGAACCTGAATCTGGATGGGCGCCCCTCCTGTAGGTTCCGGCCGGCCATGGTGAATCTCGGGACGCTCGTCATCGCTCCGGGAGATACTTTTCCGCCGTGTGGTCAACCGGGCCACCAGCGAGGCCAGCCCCGGGCCCTGGGACTCAGACCGAGATTTGGACCGTTCTCGGGTCATATTGAACGTATAATCCTCAGAGGAGCGTATGAGGTCAAGGAACCCTCAAGTCCCCTGTGTATAACGAAAAAAGAAAAAGGTGAACCGGAGAGCAGAACAAAACCAACCCTGGACCAGCCATGACCCGGCGGACCGGAGCTGCAGCCAGGGTGTCAAAAAAAAAGGTCGGTGTTAAGGAACAATACGGTGGTCGGGTAAGTCAACATCAAGTCGTGGACATCCTCACACGACAACACAGCAGTGGCATGGCCGACGCCGCAGCAGTGCCGCTGTTAGTCGCGTGCCCAAGCTTGAGACAGCTGACAGACAAATACACGGCAGAAAAAAAAAACCCTTCTTCCACTGTCTCACTCTCACAGAAAGTAAATCTCAAAACTCGTTAAAAAAAAAAAAGTAAAAAAAGTACAAAAGTAAAAAAGTAAAAAAAAAATAAAACAGCCCGAAAGCGGACCCGAACCACCCGAAAAGCCGTTGAAGCCAGACGGGCTGGGCAGGGAAGGCACTACCCACCCATCCACCCACTCACAAGGAAACCACGAACAGAACAGCGGTGCAAGGTGCAGTCACTGCAGTGTGAGCCCGCTTCGGCAGGCGGTCCAATAGCCACCCGACACCCTGCAGACCGCCCCCTCCCGATCTCCCCTGCGCATCTGGCGTGGCAGGCCAGCGCAGGCCGGGGCGGACATTTTAGGGCCTTTTTTTTCTGTTGGACTCGGGACATGCAACCCCCACACCGACTTGCGTCTCAACCAGAGCCCGAGGCCGAGTCAGGTGGGCAGAGCTGCGCTGGCCTTTTTGTGGGTGGTATGTGTGGGAGGAGGGAGAATTTGGGCACCTTGAGAAGGCTTGGCAGTTGGGTTGACATTTAATTTTTCTGACCCTCCTTTATGTTCACAACACCCGACACAAGCAGTGACAAGACACACACCCAGAGGAGGAGGGACGGGCCGGGATCAACGGCATCCACGTGGATCGGGCGGGAGACCGCCTCGTTATTGGTTGTGGGGGGAGAACAAGTCTGGGGAAAAGGCGGTGATTTGTCACTGGTAGGAGGACCCTAGGGTGGGGCGAGTAAGCCGAGGAAGAGACTGAGAGATATGATCGGAGAGGGATTTGAAAAAGAAGGTGAGTGATTATGGGAGGATGGAATGTTCTGTTGTTTATCCCTAGGCCTACCTCTTATATGGTCAGTTAATTTCGAGACGCAATCCGACGCTAGCAGTCCACAGTAATGCCGGAGAACAAGAGTAGGAAGAAAAGAAGAGAGAAGTTCTAGGAATCGATGCAAGAGAAGAACTCAAGGTCTAAAATAAAGAAACCGTTACTCGTAACCACTAGACTTTGCCACGCAAGAAACTTACAGAAAGATGTTTGTAGCAGACATCTAAAACTCCACTAACATACCGTCCCTAGCTCCACCTATTCATGATAAACAACGACCATCCGCCCTTCAGCCGGCCCAAGCATTTTCCCACCGCCCACGTTGATAAAAGCACAATATTCAAAGACAGCAGGCAAACTAAACGTCACTCAACATCATCCCGCTCGAGTACCCGTCTTACCAGGCAAACATATATGCCCTTCTCGACACAATTCAACCCCCCCCGAACTCTATATTCACCTCCATCATCCTTCTGCTCCCCACTTCCTTCTTTATTCCCTTAACCGCTCCTCAGCTTCGCCCCCACCCCCTCCTGCACTATTTACTCAAAACGAACGCCCGAATCGGTAACGATCCTTCGTACACCACTCAGGCTTCCAGCCCTGATTCCTCTTTTGACTCAGCGTTTCCTCTCATTTCTTATTTCCCCGTAAGACAAGATATCAGTTCCCAGCAGAGCAAACCCAAGCAACAGACAGACCGACCGAACCCCGAACCGAGTTATGTCGAGGATACTGAATGTGGAAGATGCCCGAGGGCAATGTTATTCAGGACGGGCCGGCGAAAGGGGGAAGGGGGGGCATTGGGTGCCTTTATGTGGGTTGTCCGGTCTTGCGAGATATTTCTAGGAGGAATTGGGATTGAGGGGACCGAGGGAGTTGAGGGGTTACAGATGTGAGTCGGTTGTTGGGACTTCCTGGGCAGATAGCCGTATTGTTGTCTGGTGGGCTGTTCTGAAATTGCTAGCGTAGATAACGTCTTGTTAGTACGAGGAGAGTAGCACTGCGGCGTTCAACCAATAACCCTTCGTCGTGGCTGGATATGAGACCTGTAATGTGAGTGTGAAATCACTGCAACGGATTCACCTGTACATACCGTTCAAATACCCGCGTTGCCATCGCCAGAGATACCGCATAGGCCTTGAACCACATAGTCACATCACGGAACCGGAACCAGCCTAAAAAGCAAATGGATATAGTACTAGCCCCTAGAACACCCGGGAACCCTCTTTCTCTCTCTCAGCCCTCGCCCTCCCTTTCTCTCGGCCCATCCTCCTCTTGATCCATTAAGCCCTCCACCATTCGGCATCCTTCTGCACACCCCATTGCCACGAGCCCCAACTCTCCTTCACCCTCGTGCGCAGCCCGGCTCCGTCGATACGGCGGGTCGGGTCTGTTTGTCCGTTGCGGCGAGTATGTAACATCCTGCAGGTCCTGCTGTCGCCGGCCAAAATGCCCGTCCAGAGGGGGAAAATCAAGACAAAGATTGGAATACAAGAACAAGATTAGCGGTCACTGCCGCGCGAAGGGTCGCGTACACGCGATAACCCTAACCCTCTCGGGGTCACTTCGCCGTGCCTGTTTAGAGCAGAGCAGCAACGACACCAGCGGCAATCATGGCAGCGCCATTGCCGAGGAAGGCGGCGTTGGTGGGGGCGGCCATGCCTCTCGAGCTCGAAGTGCTAGCGGGGGCATTCTGAGCGCCAGTAGCGCTCTGGGTGGCCGAGCTGGAGGCCGCGCTGGACGTGGGCTTGCTGGTGTCGGCCTTGCTGGGGTCCTTCTTGCCGCACTTGTCCTTGATCTGGGACTTGCACTCGTCCTGACCCTGCGAGCTGTCCGGGTTGGCGGCCATGCAGAGGTCGTACGACTTCTGGCACTCGTACTGTTGGGGGGGTTAGTGGGTTCCTCCTTCAATGGGCCGAGTTGACTCGGGACTTACGTAGGGGATGGTCTGGATGTATTGGCTCAAGTCGGGCTTGGTGCCATCAGTGCAGACACAGCTGTACACGAGGGTGTCCTGTCGTAACGTGTTAGTCTCCTGCTGCTGTGGCGGTAGCGGTCCTCCGAGCCCCCGCTCATTGTACAACTTATAAGACAGCAGAACTCACGGTATTGCAGTCGTTGGACTTGGGACCGTCCGGGCAGAGGAAGCGGCACGAGTTGTACTGGGCATTGCACCAGTCGGCTGTCGGGTGTTAGTCACGGAAGCGCGCAGAAAAGGCAGCGAGGCGACTGCTGGGACGAGAGTTCTCGAACATACCCTTGTCCGAGGCGTCGACAGTGCTGGGGTCGACGGTGTAGTTGCCGGTCGTCGTCGTCGTCTGGGCGCAGGCAACGGCAGCGAGCGCCGACAGCGCAACGAGGATCGAGTTCTGGCGCATTGTGGTGGTGATTAGGCGAGAGAAATTCTACCGGTAGAAATGGGCGATTCTCGGAATCTCTGTTTTCGGTGACGAATTGATGCTCCCAAAAAGGAAATGGACGTCTACAAAATGCAGCAGGTGGGAGGAAATTCTCGGACGTTTGGAAGTTTTGGGGAAGAAAAAGATCGAGAGAGGGAGAGAGAGCCGGGCAGCCGGCGGAAGGAAGGAGGAGAATCAAAACAGAAACAGCAGCTTTCCGGCCCGGCCACTACCACCACACAAAGTGCACGCCGCCAAAGCTCTGGGTTGGCTGGGCATGCGTGCCGGCGCAGAGCTCAAAGCGGGAAAGTTGTGCCTGGGAGGCTGGGCGGTCCCTGATTGGTAGGATCCGGTATCATGCAGGGGTTTGAACACGGCCCTTTCCTTTTTTGTCTCTCGTTTTTCCCCAACTCAACCCCTGCTAGAGGCGACTCCGGTGAGAACGGTGACGTTGAATGCCACGATGGAGCGGGCAGTTGGGGAAGAACAGGTGTGGCAGCCGTGCATTCGCAGCGTATCTCTCGCCTGCACCGTCTGCACTTTGTTTCCAATACGACCCCGGCCACATCCACCAGCGCCACCTAAAAGGCTCCCGTCTCAAACACGACGCAACGGGATCGGCTTGATTGATGCTTCAGATCGGGGACCCAAGGAAGTCGATTCCCCAGGAATCGAGGGCGCAAGTTGTGCTTGAACATATCAATCGCACTCACACGTCCGTCTAGTCGATAACTAATGCTTTAACGTTATGGAGCCGTAATTACCGAACTTTGGATCTAAAAAAATGAAAAACTGAACCACGCTCCCGCGGCCCACCATTCCGCTCTTGCCGGTTTTCCAGGAAATGGATCGCAGCGGGAATTGGGCGGGGAATGGGATTTCCGCCGCGCTTTTTTCTCACCCTCCCTTCGTTTGTGACTGATGGCCGCCAATGCTGCATCGGTTTGTTTCGCCTCACCTTACCCGTGCTCCTGGACTTTGATGAGCGTGCCATTGACCCAGCTGACTGTTGATTTTATCCAGCCCAACAACATACTACTGTGTATGTAGACGCAGCGCTGGACGGGATATGAAGGGTGGCAATAAATAAACAGTCGTGCTCGGATCGTGGGCCTCGGACAAATTTGTTGTTGTTGTGCCTGCACCGTCGTGGAATCAAGTTGATGAGATAAGCGGGCACATCGATTGCTGCAGCGATCTTCCTGAGATCCCGCGCGGTGATCGCGATCCCCACACCGGACGACGGACGGGTTGAGGCCGAGCTCAAGCGACTTTTGGTGAGTGCTCCACAGCGCAAACCACAACCCATGCCGGAGGACAAACTTTATCATCCCGCCAATCTTCTTTTGACTCTGGCTTCGCTGATCGGAGAGACTTGTCCGGGATAGCGGCTTGGTCGGCTGACGTCGGGCTGTCTTGTGACGACCCAATGCTCAGTCAATGCCTGGCCGGTTTTTCGAAGCCATGTTGTTGAGTTTGTGTTGACACGCTGTGTACCGGTTGACAAGAGAATGCATGGGACCTCACGATGCGCCGAGGAAGTTTTATTCCCCCTTCCGTCCTCCGTTCTGTATCACCGCGCACTGCAGCCAAAGAATCCACCGGTCAATGGAGTTTGCATGTGGTCCGCTATGCTGCATGGCATATGAGGTGCATGTCTGGCTGCTTGCATTGGCCAAGCTTTGTTGGTCTCATCTCTTCATCTCTTGCCCATTTGAAACCTACGGATTAACGTCACTATGTATTTAAGGTTCAGGTTCCAACTTGTCAATTGGTTCCCGTTGTGCAATTGGAGAAGACATTCAAAAAGAGCAGCCAAGCAAGCCAAGCATCGGTTCTTGGCGAGGGTGCCAAGGACTATCCTCGGCTCGTCCCAGGCCAATCACCACAGCGGCGGACCTGACCCCAAACTCAGCACTTAGCCCGGCGCGTCCAACGCGCGGGACAGATACTAGTGTTCGACGCGCATCAAGAGAAAAAACTGGCTTCAACCGTTAGCCTCGCTTTCGGTTTCATGGCCTTTCAATAAGGTGTTTCCCAACGGTCGTTTTCTCAATTGTTTTGTTTCGTAGAATGTTCTTTCATTCTATCTCTCACCAACCGTAAATCAACTTAATTTTCTTTTCATCTGATCGTCAAACTCTTGTGACCCGACTCCGTACCCCAATATCGAGACTACCGAAGACCGGAACCCCGAGAACCAACCACCATGTTTTGGACCGCACTGGCGGCTGTGGCCGTCCTCGCGGCGGTGTGGCTAGTCCGTATCAACGCGGGCATGTTGAGCGTTCCCGAGGACGCACAAAACGCCTCGCCCCAACGTTGGACAAAGCAGCGAATCCAAGAGGCGTACGAGCGGGTCAAGAAGAAGCCGATCGATTTCTCGCATCTCCTGCCCCCGCGCCTGGAGAGGCGGTATGTCATCGTGGGCGGCTCAGGTTAGTCAGAAGATTGTGGCCCTTTTCTTTTACGTGACATCCCTTTTTATTCGTCGTTATGGTTTTTTTAGCCCTTCAGTTTTCTTTTTTTTGAGCCTGTCCCATGTGAGACACCAACCCCCCGACCTTGTGCTGATCTGTCACCGTTTATGCAGGACTCGTGGGGGGCGACATCGTGCTTCAGCTGCTGGAGCGCGGCGAACTGCCTGAGGCGATCCGCATCGTCGACTTTGCCCCCGTCAACCGCCGGGACATGCTCCGGACGGCTGCGGACTGTGACTTTGCCAAGGCCGATATCACCTCCCGGGCCTCCGTCGAGGCCGCCTTCTCCCGGCCGTGGCCTGAGTCCGTGGCAAAGCGGCCCCTGACCGTTTTCCACACGGCGGCTGCCGTTCGCCCGCAGGAGCGCAGTTTGCTGCTGTACCACCGTATCAGTCCGGTCAACCGTGATGGGGCTGTGAACGTGCTGGAGACGGCTAAGGCTGCGGGTGCGGATGTGTTTATTGCTACGTCGTCGGCCTCGGTCGGGGTTGTTCCGCCGAACTTTTGGATCTGGCCGTGGCAGAGCTCGCCGAAGGACTATGTCCAGGTTGTGGATGAGAAGGACTTTGATGCGCCGTTGCGTCCGCACAGCCAGTTCTTCTCCAACTGTACGTTCCTCTTCTGCAATATCTGCATCTATGATACCTACGACAGTAGTGAGAGAGGCGAAGTCCGAGAGAAACGCTAACAAACCCAGACGGCTACTCCAAAGCGGAAGCCGAGCGCGCCGTCTGCGCCGCCAACTCCCCGACCTTCCGCACCGGCGCCATCCGCCCGGGCAACCCCATCTACGGGCAAAAGACGGACCCCGTCCTCGGCATCGTCCTCCGCACAGGCGACAACGTAACCTGGATCCCCCACGTCATCCAGCACTTTGTCAACTCCCGCAACGTCGCCCTCGCCCACCTCCAATTCGAAGCCGCCCTGGCCCCGACCACCCCGACCTCCCGCACCAGCGCCCGCAGCAAAGCCGCCGCCCTCGCCCACTTACCCGCTTGCGCCGGCCGCCCCTTCAACGTCACTGACCCGGGCCCGCCCATCGCTTTCACAGACCTCTATACGGCTGCCGAACAGCTCTCTACCAAACCAGTCCGCACCTTCCCGCAACAGCCCCTCGTCCTATTCCTCATCGCCCACGTCATCGAAGCCTGGTGCCTAATCCTCGCGCGCTTCCCGTTTCTGACAAAATACTTCGGTCTGCGCGAGCCGGCGGGGCCGATCCATATGCTCCAGCCGTCGGTATTCACCGTGTCGATCCATACGATCATTGATGATAGCGAGGCAAGGAAGAGTGTGGAGGACGGCGGGATTGGGTATCGGCCGGGGTGTGAGACGTTGGAGGGGGTGTGTGAGCAGATTTTGGAGTGGAATCGGGAGAATGAGGGGGTGGAGGGGGAGGATGGGCCCGAGGGGACGTTGGCGAAGGCTGCTTTGATGGGGCAGGGGGTTGCTGCGTGAATGGGTGGCATAGAGGATGTAATTGGGGGTTGGTTGGACGGGGTTAGCTATGTGTGATCTTAATGAGGTTAATGGGAGTATGGGGGAGGAAGGAATCAACTAAGAATACACAATAGGAACAAAATATAACTCTCAACAGAAGATAAAAAAACATTCCAAAAGCTCACCCCTGGAGTAAGGAGTGCGGGTTAGAAAGGGCGGGCAGGTAGTGGTGGTGGAACTTGGGCCATTCGCGAGGCTGTGGCCTCGGGATTTGACGGTGAGTTCGGCTTAGCTGTTCTTGTAACTCGGGGCCTCGGTACTGTAAAGACGAAAGGTATTGACGTATCTGCCAACATCCCAGCTGGTTACTTGTCATACCAACCCAACACAGACTCGACAAACCCTGTGATCCAGACACAGACCAAGACAAGGCCGCCTTCTCGTCGTACGTCCCAAATTTAAGGTCCGAACCATGTCACCAATGTTCCGCCTGCCGTGCCCCAATTCCTCGAGACACGCAACACAGCACCGAGCACAGAGTGTGATACCAACGCGGGATGCCCGCGTCGCTTCGCTAGTAACGTCACAATTTCCCGTATGCTAGCTACCTGAGATCCGATACACCTGCCCGGGTATGAACCCTCGCCTACCAATTCGAAGAAGACGAAAACAAAAACAACGCCAACCTTGGGAGAAAGAAACCGGGCCCGCCGCCGTCGCAAAACCGTGGTATCACGTATCAAAGTCCCCATCCATTCCTAGCCCTTGGACCCGCCCGAGTTACAAACCCACAAACTGCCGACCCGAAACTCCGAACCATGCCGAAAACACCTGGGAGAGAGTGTGGTTGAGAAGAGAAAGAAATGAAAAATGAAGTGAGATGGCCAGACTCAGGAAGTTGGCGCCCGCTCAGCAGCGGGTAGCACGCGGCCAGCCGAGTCCCTAGCTCTGCCCTTGCCCTTCCCGGTACCACCCTGCTGCCGCTCCTCGTCACTGTCCCACTCCGACCCAAACCCCGACTCCGACGACCTCGACCGCTGTGTATCCACGCCCACCAACCTAGGCAGGTCCTCCGACGACCTCAGCATCCTAGCCCGTTCGCTCTCATACCCACCACCGCTCTCATCCTCCTCATCCAGCACCCCGCCATCTGCCGTATCAAAATCCGGCACCTGGATCCAGTCCTTGGGCACCACACACGGCAGCGCCACACCGATACTCGCAGCGCGGTTCAAAAACGCCGGCGCCGGCTCACCCGTCAGCCGCTCGCACAGAAACGACGTGAAATGGTTACAGTTGCGCGTGAGCAAGTTATACGCGGTCCCCAAGAACTCTTCGCTCGCCTCGCGGATGATCCCTTCGAGCTCGGCTTCGGGCGCTAGCGTGAAGCCGTGCAGGTACTCGCAACGGAACGTGCCGCCGGGGGGGTCGGTGCGCGGTTTGGTCCAGTACACGCCCGTGAGGCCGCGTCGGTCGTGGCCGCCGTAGGCGTATTCTTTGCCGTTGATGACGACGCCTGAGTGGAGGAGGGAGGTGCCGAGGTGCCAGAGGATGGTGGATACGCGGCCGGGGGGGAGGAGGTCGTAGACGTTGATGAGGATTTCGGTTTTTTGGAGGGAGAGGGTCGAGCGGTGCGAGCGCGAGGGCTTCTTGTGGTGTTTTCGTGTCGGCATGGTGGGCAGATTTGCGTGGTTAATAGCGCACTATGTATTTGAGGCTGGGGATGCGCAGAAATGGGGGGTTAGAGGCGATGGTGAGGAATCATGGGCGTTTCGACGTGGGCGTCGGCTGCGAAGACTCGACGAGAACAAAGGTTCGGGGCTGTCACGAAGCAACGAAGCACGATGAGGACGGGCGGCCGTTGAAACAAGACGGGAAGATTTGGAATTTCGTTGGATTCGGGGCAATATTGGAGGCGCATTAAGCGCTACCGTGTTAAGCGATGATAAAGGGGAGTTTGTTGGAAGTGCCCGAAGAATGAGAGACACGGCTGAAGACGTTGAAGTTGGATGGAATGCATGTGCGTTCCAAGTGGGATTGATGGAAGATGACCCGCGCCTCAGCGGCAGGCAGAGAGCCCCACAGGCCTCCGCAGCTGGAAGTCCGGGGCTGAGCTCCAAGCTGCACGGGCGTCTGCGCCCAAGCTCCCGAGGTCCCGTGGCTCCTTCCAGGTTCCTTGGCCCGTCCCGTGCCAAGGCATAGTTGGCTCGTGCACTTATTTTCCAGGCTTTGGCGCCCCACCAGCTTTCAGAACCCCGCCATGGAAGAGGGAGAGCTGGCCCAAAAATTTTCACCTAAAAACTGAACCTCTCATTTCACCACAAGACGGAAGAAAAGCCATTGTGAAGCTGGCCGCTGTTGACCGCGCTTCATCAGCCGCATTTGCCCGCCACATCCCGGGTATCTCAGCAATCGCTAGACATTAACTTGTCTGGGCGCCTCTGTCTCGCGTAGAACGTAGCTCGTGGCACATTTGTCCGCGAGCGCGTCACCGTGACGCCCCCAATTCGGTCTTTTCTCTTCGCTTCTCCTTTACCCCTCCTTCGAACCCCCGCAGCTAGCTCTGCATTTTCCGCATTTCCCCAGAAGCCGCTGCTTGATTGCACGCTCGTCTACATCTCCACTCGCCACTACAGCAAACGCAGGACCAAGATGCCTCCCAAGAAGCAGGCCGTCGAGGAGAAGATCCTCCTGGGTCGCCCGGGAAACAACCTGAAGAGTGGCATTGTGGGTTGACCTGGCCGACGATAACAACAACACCCCTCGGCGGCTCCGCTGACTTGTCTCGGACGAACAGGTTGGGTTAGCAAACGTCGGCAAGTCGACGCTCTTCCAGGCTATCACCAAGTGCAACCTGGGCAACCCTGCAGTATGCTTTGACTCCTCCCTCTCTATCCATCGTTTTTTCGGATATGCCTCTCGCCAGGACAGCCGTCGCTGATGCCGTCGCTAGAACTTTCCCTATGCGACAATTGACCCCGAGGAAGCTCGCGTCATTGTCCCCGACGCCCGCTATGACTGGCTGTGCGAAAAGTACAACCCCAAGTCGCGGGTACCGGCCAACCTCACAGTCTACGACATTGCCGGCCTGACTCGCGGTGCCTCCACTGGCGCGGGTCTCGGCAACGCCTTCTTGTCGCACATTCGCGCGGTCGATGCCATCTTCCAGGTGGTGAGGTGTTTTGACGATGCCGAGATCATCCACGTCGAGGGTGACGTCAACCCGACCCGCGACTTGGACATCATCAGCGAAGAGCTACGTCTCAAGGATATCGAGTTCGTCGAGAAGGCACTCGAGAACCAAAAGAAGAAGACCCGCCAGGGCGGCCAGTCGCTGCAGATGAAGCAGTGGAAGGCGGAGGAGGCGACGATTGAGAAGATCCTCGCCTTCCTCAAGGAGGGTAAGGAGGTGCGCAAGGGCAACTGGGCGCCCAAGGAGGTAGGCTATTTTTTTTTTCGTTCATCTTTTCTGCTTTCCCATCGCCTCCATCCTCCAACTGCGACTTCCTATGATGATAAAGGACCAATGGTCCGATCTTATAACCCAGCTCGTCGAATGCCTCACATTAACGCAGAGTGCATGTTGAGATAAAAACCCCATTCTGATTTTGTCGCCTCCACTTTTATTTTGGAATCCTTCTTGACGGCTTCTTGGTAACCACCGCTAACTCGTTGCCAGGTCGAGGTCATTAACCCCCTCTTCCTCCTGACGGCCAAGCCGGTGGTGTACCTCGTCAACCTTTCGGAGCGGGATTACATTCGGAAGAAGAACAAGCATCTGCCCAAGATCGTCGAGTGGATCAAGGAGCATGCCGAGGGCGACCCGATCATCCCGATCTCGGTCTCGTTCGAGGAGCGCCTGACACGCTACGAGACGGACGCGGAAGTGGCCGAGGAGTGCAAGAACGTCGGGGCGGAGTCGGCGCTGCCCAAGATCATCCTGCAGATGCGCAAGTCGCTCAACCTGGGCAGCTTCTTCACGGTGGGCCCCGACGAGGTGCGGCAATGGACGATCCGCAACGGCACCAAGGCGCCGCAGGCGGCGGGGGTGATCCACACGGACTTTGAGAAGACGTTCATCCAGGTGATTGTGTACAACTACAGCGTGCTCAAGGAGCTGGGCGACGAGGCGGAGGTCAAGGCGAAGGGCAAGGTCATGACCAAGGGCAAGGACTACGTTGTCGAGGACGGCGACATCTTGTTGATCAAGGCCGGTGCTGCCAAGGCCTAAGGCCGCAGCGAATGCAAAGTTTTCACATGATGCCGCTTGGTCTTGGACGAGATGTGTCGTAGGCGTGACTACTAAGTAAGTGAGAACGGTGGGCAGATGGTTTAACTAGCCGGCCCTGAGCTGTCTGCTGTAGTATTACTGTGCAGGTAGGATGTCTGGGTAGCTTGAACGTGACGGCTTGGCGAGACGGGTCGTCTCGTGAGTGGTTGATGAACGGGCGCAGTGCGAAAATTGTGGAATCAAGCTGGATTCTACTGTACTTAGCCTCAGGTAAACCATGAGTTTTCTCGTAGAAAGAGAGAAATCATCAATTCCAAACCTTGAATCAAATAAATAGGTTCTGTGATGCCCTGTGTTTTCATGCGTTACTTGTTCCCATCTCTAGCCGGGCATGCCTTTCCTCTGGTGCCCGTGTTTTATTCCAACGGCAGCTCCCCACTCAGCGGGAGATCGCCTGACGGGGCCAGGCCTGCGGCCAGATGCCAGCCCGCTGCAGCATCCCTGTTCCGCGTCACTGGCCCAGCGGCCCTATTGGATGGATACCTGCCGAGCTCTGTCGTAGGGCAGACTGCCGACTCGCGTCGATGAGACTTCCCCTCGACAACTACTCGACCTTTACTTCGTACTCGACATTGAAACTGCCACGCTCACGCCACGACAAAACAAAACCGACGACCGCCGTTTCTTTCTTCTTCTGGATAGGCCGCAGAGGGTTGGGATTGAATTAATAGATTTCGGGATTAGGTTTTAGGATTTGGCGTTTGACGAGAGTTGGACTTGCTTGTCCGCGGCTGCCGAGGTTTGGACTTGAACGTTGGACCCCGAATCTCAACTCCTCGAGCTGCGAACGACGAACGAACGACGAACGGCGGACCGAATCGATCCCGCGAGCCCATCTATCGAATACACGATATCATCTAGCATCGCCCGACGTACAGAAATCCCATTGCATGGTCAACCGTTTCCGTCCTCCTCACGAACCTCATCCACCATCCATGCTACAAGCGTCGATACCTTCTCTCTCGACAAGCAAATTCTACCCTGAATGACTCGGACCCCAACCCGAATATCAATAGCCACATATGCGCCCGCAACCCCTCAACCCCTTCCTCTCCGCCCTCTCCAAAAGCCCCCTCCTCGCCCAATGCAGTCCCCCCCAACACCACATCCTGCTCGTCCCCACCGCCGATGTCCTCCTCAACACGCGTGACGTCGATTCCGGTGCGCCCCTTGTCGTGGCTGCCGGTTTGACGGCTGCTGCGGCGGGGGGGGTGGCGGATGAGTTTTTGGCGAGTCATATCATTCGGTTGCCGGTGTCGCCTACCAGTGGGGGTAATGGGGGGAAGGGAGTAGGACAGGAGGGGGGGCAGAATTTGAGGGAGATGAGGGGGAAACCGAAGATTTTTGGGACGGTTAATGGGAGGAGTTTGGTGGTTAAGGATCATGGGATTTATACGAATAAGGGTAGGGTGCTTCGATAGCCTTTCTTGAGGTTTCTTGAGGGGTGCATGACACAGACCGCTGACGTATGTGCTTTTGATGTGCAGGGTTTAAATCGCTGGCGCAGGCCACGCTGCTGCACGACTGCATCTGGTATCCCGACACGCTCGATCCGCGCTCGTTTCTTGTTTATTACATCTCGCGACCGCTGGTGGGGTCCTGGGAGGAGATTCGGATCACGCCAGCGTTGTTGCCGCCTACACGCGAGGGGGGGCCTAGGTCTGTTGCTGCTGACGGCCAGGAACAGTCGTCGCAATCACAGTCACAATCAAATACGCAGGGGGCGTCGTCGTCCGGATCGCCAAAGAAAAAGGACGTGCGGACCTTCCACGAGCTGTTGATCCACTTCCCCGCCATCGCCAAGCAGATGCAAGGCGGACTGGAGAAACTCTTCCGCGAGTTCACGCAGGTGTTTGAGCGGCCACTACCCCCACCACCATCAGCCAGCGAGATCCCCGACCCCGAACCGGACGGACCGATCGCCACGGCACTCAAACGAGCCAGGTCCAGCAGCGATGTCGACCGGAGCAGCACCAGCCATGACCAGGGGAGCGTAGTCGAGGGTTCTAACAGCACCAGTAACACCGGCAGCACATTCCAAGACGACGACGAAACAATCATGCGCACGGCCATGGAAACCGCCGTCACGGCCGCCATCGACCTCTTCCAAAGCGTTGACAGGCAACAACTGTCCCTGCTTGGCGCGACGACTGACCTGACCGGCCCGCTGGTGGAGCGGTTGATCGAACGGTACATTGCCGAGAACGTGCACCATATGGTTTTTCCGCGGCTGGCTACGGTGCGGCGGCCGGAGGACTTGGAGTTGGAGGCCAAGATCCGGCAGATGGAGCATATCGATATTTCACAGCTGGGGGTGGTGGTGGAGGGTGGGAGTCGAGCCAAGAGGGAGGCGGTGCGTCGGTTGGAGCGGGCGGTGGAAGAGTTCAGGAAGATGCCGCATGCTAGTTGTCCGCAGGAGATGATGGAGATTTTGTTGGGGACTATGAAAGCTGCTACGCAGTTGGCTGGGCCTGGTTCTCCCGGTCCTGGGCCTGGTGAATTTACCCCCGAGACAGGGTCTAACTCGTCACTAACCGGGTCTGAGTCAATGTCCGGGTCCGGATCGGGGTCTGTCGAGAAACCAGCCACGACCGCCTCGACCATGACGATCAACGCGGACACGCTGGTATCGCTGCTGCTGTATGTCGTGATCAAGGCGCAGATCAAGCACCTGCAGGCTCGGCTGAGCTACATGCAAGGGTTTGTGTTTGTGGATGATGTCGAGAGTGGGGAGATGGGGTATGCGCTGAGCACGTTTGAGGCGGTGCTTTCGTATCTGGATCGGGATTCGGTCGGGTTGAGGCGGGCGAGTCGGAGAAATCGGGCGTTGTGGGATGCGGTGGGGAAGGGGGATATGGGGGGGTTGAGGAGGATTATGGAGCCTGATGAGTATGATCATGAGGGGGTTGATGCCGGGGCTGGTGGTGCTGTGGGGGATGAGGATCGGGGGGAGGTGGGACAGGCTAGGAGCCAGTCGAGGAGACAGTCGAGTGGCGGGTGGAGTTTTACGCATGGCGTGTCGAGGCGGTCGTCGTCGGTAACGTCGTCACGGGGATTGGTGTTGGGGGGGCCGACGGAGAGTTTCTCGCGCGGGTCTGGGCTGGGACATGTGTTTCCGTTTCAGGCGACGGAGAATCACAATAACGATGATGCTGAAAGGGACTTTCTGCTCCCCCCGCCGAAACGGATCAAGAAAGTGGCCATGGACACGCGCAGCATGTCGAGCGGGTCGGAGATCTCGTTCCGGTCCATGCCGCTCAGCAGCATCGGCACCATCAGCGGGCTGGACGAAGACGACGGCGACACGTCCATCGCGCGCCTGGCGCAGACGCAGGATGCGTTCGGCGAGTCGGTGCCCATGATGGCTGTGCAGCACGGCCAGCGGGAGGTGCTACAGTATCTGCTCTCGCTGCGCGCGTGGTACCCGGCATCCGTGGTGTTCGAGGACCAGAACAACGAAGGCACCACACTGTTCAGCGCGGCGGTGCAGCTCGGCGACGACACCGTGATAAACACCGTGCTGGATTTCCTGCTGGATGCGTCCCCCGACAATGACCGCGTCATCCGGGAGTATCTCGCCGTCCAAGACACCTGGGGCCGCAGCGCCGCGCACTACCTCTTCCACGCGCCGTTTCTGATTGCTCGACTCGGTCGCCTACTCCCCTGGCGCCAGCGCGACAAAAACGGCCAGACCCCGCTATTTGCACTGTGTCGGTCGTACGACCACCCGGACTACAACACCATGGTGCGCGAGGCGCTCGACGCCGCAACGCGCACCCAAGGCGATGGCCAGCCGCTGCATGTGGATGATCATGTGGATGGCAAAGGGAATACCCTGCTGCATATCATCCACGACGCGGCGCTGGCGCGGTTCGTGCTGCGGAAGTGTGATGTGGATGTGAATGCGGTCAACGAGAAACGGTTTACCCCGCTGATGCTGGCGAGCAAGTACGGGCGTCTGGATATGGTGCGGACGCTGTTTGGGGATGTGCGCGTGGATATTGCGGCGAGGGAACTGCGTGGGTTGACGGCCGTGGAGTTGGCGAAGGATGATGAGGTCAGGAACAAGATTGATGATTTGGTGCTGTTTCAGATGATGCCGGGGACGGCGACGGGGAGGGCTTTGGCGAGAGGGGTTATGGGACGGGGGAGGGGGAAGAGGAAGAGGGGGAATAAGGGGGGGAATAATGGAGGCCGTGGTGGTCAGGGGCATGGGCATGGGCATGGGCATGGGCATGGGCATAGTGGTAGTGTTACTAGTATTGCTAGTATTGCTAGTAACGCTAGTAACGCTAGTAACGCTAGCAATACGAGTGCTGCTAGTAATGTCGGGAATGGCAACGACAACACCGGCAACAGCACCGGCAACGCTAGCAATACCAACAACGACACCGGCAACACGGGGGACAACAACACCGAGGGCAGAGACGGACGGACGACAGCGGTCGTCCGCGCATACTTCGTCGAGGACGCGTCGGTGCGGTTCGTGCTCAAGTCCAGCGCACTCGTCGACTCCCAAAACCTCGCCGTCACCACCTGCCGGCGCTCCCTCGCCGACTTCGAGCGCCTCGCCCACCTCCTCCAAAACGAAAGCCCCGCCTCCTGGCTGCCCTCCCTCTCCGACCTCCGCTCCCCGATCCAAATCCCCTCGCGTCCCAGCCGCGCCGTCCTCCGCGACCTGCAGCAGCGCATGGACGGGTTTTTGAGGGTACTGCTGCAGCACCCGACGTTTGGGACACATGAGATGCTGTGGGAGTTCTTTTTGGTGCCGGATCTGCAGCTAGATGTGATGGCGGAGAGGAGTCGGTTGAAGGCCGAGGCGATGTTGGGACGGGTGCACGAGGAGATGGAGCCGGTCGGGGAGTTGAGGGAGGTGGAACAGTTTGTGGACCATGCGAGGGAGATGGTTAGGGGGGTGCATTTTTCTACGAGGAGTGTTGCGAGACGGGCGAATGCTTTGGGGAATGTTTCTGTTGGTGGGTTTCTCTTCTTTCTTTTGCTTCTCTTCTGTCTGACAGTCTGCCCCTGTTGTTTGTTTACTTTTAACCCCTTTCGGCTATTTACATACTGACTTCCGTCCAGACCTCCACGAATCCCTCTACCTCCTAACCCGCACAACCTCCACCCTCCCCTTCCTCCCCCCCACCCACACCCACGCCCTCGCCATCTACACCGCCGCCCTCTCCCCCTCCTCCACCGCCCCCATAACCACCTTCTTCACCACCTTCCTAACCCTCTACCACAACGTCGAAGCCGTCCTCTCCGCCCTCTCCCGCCCCCCGCAAACCATATCCGCCATCCACGCCGCCCGCCGCGACGCCGAACGTAACCACTCCTCTCTCGCCCGCACCTCCCGCTGGCCCCTTGGGCTCGGCGGGGCGGGCGGAGGGGCGTTTTCCCTGCCGGGCTTGGATGAGACGAGGGCGAGGATACAGGAGGAAAGAGCCGAAAAGGTGAGGAGGAGTGAGGGGGAGGCGGGGAGGTTGGAGAGGGAATTGAGGTGGCAGCAGCAGACTGTTGCGGGGGAGTTGGCGGGGTGGAGGGAGATGCATGAACGCATGGGACGGAGGGCGGTTAGGGAGTTGGCGAGGGGGATGGTGGTTGGGGAGAGGGGGAGGTTGGAGGGGATGAGGAGGGCTTTGAGGGCTGTTAGG